CCAGAATGACATGTAATCCTAACACTACATATATCTAACCTTGTACTTAATTATCTGAGAAACTGACCTAATCATGTATATGTAACTTTAACCTTGGTCCCGATGAAATGAGGTCGAGGTCAGGCGAACGCTGTCTGACAGACATGTACACCTTGCAAGGATTCAAGTCACTTCAACCCATATACCAAACAAAGTTATCATATTCCTCATAGTAACAGAAGTTTCCATGACAACAAAATATTTGTTTTCAAGCCTACTGAGCAATAAAAAGGAGGTCAAGAACAATAAACATATGACAGACGAACATTTTGTAGCTTGAGGTATCAGCATACAAGGTATGAAAAAAAGCTTTATACAAAAAGATTACACTGCGGACACCACAAATAGTAATCATTACATCTTGCATACAGCAACTTTCTCCATAGGCGACAACAATCACATGATGAACAGGAACCAAATACATCAAATGACAGGCTCCCGACTTTATACAAGCATAATTATACAGAATGTGACCGTGTTTAATTACTCAACCCTCTTGCTAAACTTAATTAGACAGTGAAGACACAGCACAACATGAGAACAAACTGAACTGTTGAATAGAGCTTGACCTATGATCATCAGATTGATACAGAGTATACGTAACAAAGTGACATGACGCATCAATCTGAGATTCTCAATTACCGCTCTATTAAACCTTGACTTTGACCTACCCACTTCAAAATCAGATGGGATGTTGGTCATATCAAAGGCCAATATCAGTGGCAGATCCAGTAATTTTCATAAGTGGGGGCCCACTGACTGCATAAGAGGGGCCCGCTACGGTCATTCTTCAGTGATTTCCTATATAATCAACCAAATTTTTCCCAGAAAAGGGGGCCCTGGAACCCTGGGCTCTAAATCTGTATCTGCCAAATCAGACATTCACAAGACAAGGCCTTTAAAAACCAGATTTTTGATAAATTAATTAAAGTTCAGACTATCAGCAAAACATGTTTAACCCTGCCACATTTTTGCGCCTGTCCCAAGTCAAGAGCCCTTGCCCCCCCCCCCCCCTGTTCAAATTTCAGTCCATCAATAGCTGTGGTGACCTTGACCTATGTACACTAAAATCGATTGCATCTTCATCTGATAATCATGATAATACAGCATTATATCATACTATATGTTTTGAAGGGATATCGTAAATAACTCCAAAGAATTTGTTCTGGAACCTAAGATGAGATTACCTTGAGAGCAACAGCTCACCTTCTGACTAAGAAATCTAACAAATTAAGTAGTAAATGTTCAATATGGTTAATTTTTTATTTAAATTAATTACAAACAATGAAATGTTAGGCATAAATACACATTCCTTAAAAAATTGATTTAACCTTTATTTTTTTGAAAATTAAAACAGATTGAGGTTTGTGGAATTCATGCATCTGATGTAATATTTTCCACCATATATGTACCACTTATAACAGGTGACATTCCTCTTCTTATCAGCATCTAAAACACAGTAAAATATATATATTACAGAAAAATCATTTTCATTCCTCATACATTGTATCTGTAAAACAATCTAAATAATGAAATCTGGAACTCCAATCTTTGTTTCAAGTTGGGTTTTTTCACGAAGACAAACTTTTCCTTATCAACAGGGCCTTGCATACTATGTTTATAGTGTAAAATAAACTGTAGACCCAAAGATATTTCTTGCCTTGGTGTATAATACATGTATGCAAATATTAATGGCCATATATGATTTAACATGTACAATAAAATTGAGAATGGAAATGGGGAATGTGTCAAAGAGACAACAACCCGACCATAGAGCAGACAACAGCCGAAGTCCACCAATAGGTCTTCAATGCAGCGAGAAACTCCCGCACCCGGAGGCGTCCTTCAGCTGGCCCCTAAACAAATATTTATACTATTTCAGTGATAATGGACGTCATACTAAACTCCAAATATACACAGGAAACTAAAATTAAAAATGATACAAGACTAACAAAGGCCAGAGGCTCCTGACTTGGGACAGGCGCAAAAATGCGGCGGGGTTAAACATGTTTTTTGAGATCTCAACCCTCCCCTATACCTCTAGCCAATGTAGAAAAAACAAACGCACAATAGTACGCACAGTAAAACTCAGTATAAGAGAAGTCTGAGTCCGATGTCAGAATGGGAACAAATGAAAATAAACAAAATGACAATAATACATAAATAACAACAGACTACTAGCAGTTACTGACATGCCAGCTCCAGACCTCAATTAAACTGATTGAAAGATTATGTCTTCATCATATGAATATCAGGCATAATCCCTCCTGTTAGGGGTTTAGTATTAAAAAAAATAAAATATATGAGAAGAACATAACCCGTGTCATGATGTATAGTATACAAATAGTTCAAAGTCAATAAACTATGACTGAGGGGGCAGAGCCAAATTAATTCAATGGCAATGAGAAATGCCAATACTTATACAAATGCATCCCAAAACCAATTGCCTTATCATATTTAGTGGTTCCTTTTAAACTAACATAAACACAAACTTTAACATGTATACTATGCAAAGGATTCAAAGTCAATGAACCATGATGATATAATCTCCATGAACATGGGAAATGAGACATGCAAATGCCAATACAACTGCATACTAATTATCATTGGTTAAATTACCAGTTTTGGTTTATCTTAAACTGAATTATCACTTAATCACAAATTTAACATGTTAACTATGTTAATCAATAGACCATGACTGAGGAAGCAGGCCCAAAAAATATACCTGGAAATGAGCTGTGCCAATGCTTATTTATAACTGTCTACCAAGTACCATTGACCTTCCACTATTGCTTCCCTTTGAACTGACCTTATCACAAACTAAAACTGTGTTGAAGCTGCGTTGGTTCCACCCCTACCATAAAAAATGTTATGGCTTGGTCTTGCTTTTTTCACTTTGTCAGGGCTATGAGAAAACAAGAGGCTCTCAAGAGCCTGAATCACTCACCTGTTATTTGTTTGCTTAAATCTTTCATCAATGATTATTTTTGCTTTTTAATATATATTAATGAGTGGCTTAAAAATGCCATTTAAATGTTCATTGTATCTGTATTTTCTTCAAAAGCAAAACAAAGCATTTTATCCATATGTTCCATTTGAGCCATAGTGTCTATGTTTCTTGACTTACAAGGAAATAAAATGCAAAATTTATACTAGATTCATTTGAGAAGATTTTTAAAGTTGCCTACTTTTGCTGTTAATCGCAGGCTCAACAAATAATGAGATGAGGAAAAAATTTAATAAAAATATTCCTCTCGATACAATTTTTTTATTGTAAGAAGCTTCTGTCCAAGTTTGGTAAAAATCCAGGATAGTTTATGAATCTAATAAATGTTTTAAAAAATTTAACTGCAGACTGTATGTAATGTTAACTGGAAGAAAAACTAAGTCCATTTATAAGTAAAATATGGATAAACAAGTACAAAATTTCCTTCGAGATACTAGCTTTTAATCATAAACAAACTTTTGTCCATGTTTGGTACAAATCCAGGATAGTTTAAGAAAGTTATTAAAATTTTAAAAACTTTAACCACAGAGTGAATGTAATGTTTCCTGGCAGAAAAACATAGTCAATTTATAAGTAAAATACGGAAAAACAGGATTTTTTTTTTTAAACTTACTTCTTGGTCCAAGTTTGGTAGAAATCCAGGATAGTTTAAGAAAGTTATTAACATTTCAAAAACTTTAACCACAGACGGAATGTAGGATCGCTATGTCTCGCTTTTTCGACAAAAGTCGAAGGCTCGACAAAAACATAAACAACTTGTGTAAAATTGTCCTTAAAGGGCAATAACTCCTTAAGGGGTCAATTGACAATTTTGGTCCTTTAAAACTTTTTTGTAGATCTTAACTTTGCTGAACATTTTTGCTGTTTACAGTTTATCTTTATCTTCAATAATATTCAAGATAATAACCAAAAACTGCAAAATTTCCTTAAAATAACTAATTTAGTGTCAGCAACCCAACAATGGATTGTTCGGATTGTCTGAAAATTTCAGGGCTGATAGATCATGACCTTTGGAACATTTTTACCGCATGTCAGATATGTTCTAAATGCTTTAGTTTCTGAGATATAAGTCAAAAACTGCATTTGACCCCTATGTTGTTCTATTTTTCGCCATTGCGGCCATGTTTGTTGATGGATCAAAAATTCGGATACAATTCATAAACTAGATTCCTAAAGGAACATTCATTTAAAGTTGAGAAGTATGAGGCACAATAGTTTCAGAGGAGAAGATTTTTAAATGTTAGCAAACTTGATGAACAAATTGTGTAAAATTGTCCTTAAAGGGCAATAACTCCTTAAGGTGTCGTATAATGGTATGACGTTGTCGTCGTCGTCGTCTACGTCGTCGTCCGAAGACACAATGGTTTCCAGACAATACTTTAGTTTAAGTGAATGGATGTCTGTCATGCTTTAGTGATTCTTAATATAACCAACCAAATTTCTCCCACAAAAAGGGTGTTTATTCTTTTGGTTAGAGGCTTCCCGCCCGAAGAATTTTTTTTGAGAATTGATAAAATCTTCAAAATTGTCGGCCCGCCTCAAGCTTTTGGTTAAGAGGATTCCCGACAAATTATTTTTGATTGGCTAGTAATAATCTTTCGGCCTTGCTTTTGGTTTAGAAGATTCCCGCCCGATTTTTTTTGATTGGCTAGAAATAATCTTTCGGCCTTGTGTAAAAAAAAGCGGGTTTTGTGTTGAAATAATTTGTCAGCCTTGTGTAAAAAAGCGGGGTTTGTGTAATAAAATCTGCGGCCGCCGCAATAAGAATCGAGAAATATGAATCTGCGGGCGGGAATAACAATAATTTGCGGGCGGGAATGATAATAATCTGCGGGCGGGAATAAAAATAATTCGGGGGGTTTACTGCGGCTTTCCATATAAACATATCATTAGTATATTATTTTAATAAATTTGTTTCATACTACAGACATGAAGTTTTCTAATGAGTAATAAATGAGTAACAACTTTTATTCTATTTTTATTTAGTTTAATATCGTTTTGTGTTCATAAATACATATGTTGATTAGTACGCAAACAACTGTAATAGGGACAATTAAACTGGTAAAGTACTAGTAAACGGGTTCAGTAAACATTCTGCAAGTCGTTTTGTTGTATGTTTTATACGATTTGCGCACTATCGTCTACTTCTGAATACATGTCCAAAAATGAATCTTCATTTTCATACTTTTTTCGACAACCATAACGCCATTTTGACGCTCTCGTTCGCCGGTTGCTGTTTTCTTTCACTTCCCGTACTTTTCTTATTTGTTCCCTTTTCAAATTGTCAATTTGCTTAACTTTCCTGCGCTCATCATTCTCGATTTGTTTCTGTAGAAGTGTTATTATATAATCCAAGGCTTCATTCACTTGTGTTTGTAACAATTTTTCATGTTTGACTTCTACATCGCGTAACTTGTTTACAACTCTGTCTACGAGATGTGTACTGTCCTTTGACTTTTCAAACGTGAAGACTTTTAGTTCATTTTGTAACGATGCGATACGTTTCTTGTTTTCCGCTAAGCGAGATTCAACTATCAACTTTTTCGTTTTAAGTTGTTCAATTATTTCGGTCATTTTTTTATTCTCCTTTATCACCAGCGTATATTTTTGGTAAGATTTGATTTGTCGATACAATACCATTTCTTCTACGGTAAACTTCGTGTTTTCCTCTTTTTCGCTTTCTTGTCTTAACGTTTGGGCTGTATTATACTTGTCAATAGTATAGCATGACTTAAACAAGTCTACTGTTCTTAAAAGATTAATCACTTGCTCATCGTGGGATTGGCCAGAAAGTTTGTTGTTGAAGGGAATATATCTGTTTTCGCACCGTTTTAGAATCTTTTTCAGTGATGGAGGACAATTTTTTACATAATCCCTAATGTCTATATTTTCGTCATCAAGATCATCTGCTCTGGTGAAGATAACAACCACGTACTTAAAGAAATCATCTCCAAAATGGGCCAAACAATTGTTAATACTATTGAGTTCTTCCTTTGTAAATACGCCTATTTGCAAAGTCAAAAGAAACGCATGAGGTCCTGGCACAGTCATTCTGATGATCTTTGCTACTTCTTTTGACATGTGCTCATTATTCATTCCGGTATCGAAAATCGGTGGTGTATCTACAATTGTTATGTTGCGATTGAATCTATTATTCGTTCCGACCTTGCATTTGGTCGTAATGCAGGACCCAGACACTTTTGAATTAAATTCCGGTTTGCCCAAGATTTTATTTCCAGTGGCACTTTTCCCTGTCCCTGCTCTGCCAATTATAACCAGGCGCAATTCTGTGTTATCGGTCATTGAGATAATTTTTTCTGTTATAAAAGGCGCACTTACTAAAGCTGGAAGAAAAAAAATACATTTGTTGTTAGTTTCATTTTAGTTCTGTTAAGATACTTTTTATATTATTCAATGAATAAGGAAATCCTAGATTGAAAATTTAGAATGCATTGTTTCTATTGAAGTATATTTCAGAGCTAGCTAACATCGTGCTATGCTGCCTTTCTTCAACAATGGAAAGAAATCAAAGGTCCTGCTATATGTATAAAAGTCAATGGAACTCTGATCGAGTGTTTTGGGGCTACTGAATGCTCAAATTTTAGAGTTTTATATATACAGAAAAACTAAAATATATAAGGGAAACAATTTAATTGCGCTTAAATTTTCCTCTTTTGCATGGTGAACAAAACGGGGAAAATTAATAAGACGAGATTATGAGGGATTTACTAAGCGCTATTAAAGTTGTGATTTTCAACTGGGATGTGATGCATTTTTAAAACATATTGACAAGGAGGTATATCTTTAAAGGTTCAATTTCCAATTTATTTCAGCAAAATTCAAAACGATATGACTTAACATTGTTATATAAATAGAAAGGAGTTTCTTTGACTGAAAAAGTTAAGTTCCGACATTTCGGTGGTAACGGGAACATGTTCAACTCATACCGAATAAGTTGTTTGAAAAGCGATGATAGATTTAGGTAATTTTACATATTGGCTTGGAAATCCAGATACATATGTACCCTGAGTGATTTTTTATGTCATTTCTAAACATAAATGTTCGGCCTTTTTACCCCTAAGTATTTGGTTGCAACATATTGTTTATCACAATTTTACGCCGACAACTCTTCTATTTTGGTACTATTATTCCTTAAAGTAATGGAATAGTACGATCGAATATTTTGGTATCCACAATAAATGTATGTCTAATATATCATATCTCATTTAATTTAAGTATGCGAAGAAATAGATATACGCATTGTGAATTTATATGAATGGTAATACTTGTAAATAAATAAAACATACATAACCTTAACCTTTATTAAATTCTTCCATAGATAATACGATTTGGTTTGTAAATTTAGCTGTACGTGTAATACATATTTCATACGGGATAGCACATCCTAATTTTTACGGAGATATTGTTTACTAGCCCGGACATATAGTTACAATAGGTAAATTAATCGATCTTTTAAATAAACTTATTTTAAAAGGATAGCAATTCAATACTGTAATTAGATCTTTAAATATTTTTTTGTTTATTGGAATTAATATTGATTTTATAATCAATAAATTAAAACCAAACTACTATAATTGTTAAATACACATACATGTGCACATTCGTGGTTCTACAATCTGTCGATACTTATATTTTGGCAATGCACAAGGCCATGTTTTTCTCTGACTGTTTATGACTGAGGTCTTTACTCTAAATCAATTGGATGTTGGATGTGTACTGATTAATAATTTAGTCTTAGATACACGATTTTTTTTAGAAGTTGTTGTTGGCTTTGAACTAACTGTCAGTAACTGCGAGTACTCTCAGATCTGTATGTAGTTTCGTGTTTTGTTGCAGGGATGTATATATACCATGCCACGTCCGGTCTGTGATTTTGATACATATTTTTTGCTTTGTATGAATCTGATGAGTCAAGCCATTTTTAACGGATTTTTATAGTTTTTTCAACTTTTGTACTGTTACATCGCTGTCCCAGGTTAGGGGAGGGTTTGGCACCCGCTAACATATTTACCCCACCACATTCTGTATGTGCCTGTCCCAAGTCAGGAGCCTGTCGTTTGTTGCTGTATATCATATTTGTATTTCGTTCATTTTTTTTGACATAAATCAGGCCGTTTTTTCTCATTTGACATTTGTCATTATTTCGGGGCCTTTAATAGCTGACTATGTGGTATGGGTTTTGCTTATTGTTGAAGGCCAAACGGTTACCTATAGTTGTTAATTTCTATGTCATTTGGTCTCTGATGGAGATTTGTCTCATTGGCAGTTATACCACATCTTATTATTTTCATATGAATTTAGTTATGTCATAAACGAAGAGAAAAAACAGAATTGAGGCAAACGGACATAATCGTGGTAAAAAGTTGATAATGGTAAAAAATATTTAATATGCCATCCAAAATAAAAAAAAAATGAGCTTGAACTAATCGTAGTAATGTTGCTTTAAATTTAAAGTTAACATTTGATGTCTTTCATAAACTGAAGTGTTTCTATTTCGGATTGAGCAATAAGAGAAAAATAATGAACACTTAAACTAAAAACAATTCACCATGGGAACATTGTCTAATTTATATATATCAATGCTCTTGGTACTTTTCTTTAAATCACGAATTCTACATAACATCTGCATTTGCCACTGAGCTTTTGTCAGAACTGTCTTTGGAATATAAACATTTGTGTTCCGTATATTTCTTGACTGTTGCAGTTGGATGAAATACAAGTCTCCCTGTCAAAATTGTACAACCTCGTAAAAAGTATTTGTTGTTTAAAACATGTTTAATATCTAAATCCATCATAAAAGGAAATGTTATGACACGCTATTGATTGATAGATTCAGGAAATATTATATGCATATTGAGGAAAAGACAATTAAAGAAATATTATTATAACCATGTATATAACTGATGTACAGTGTGACACTATGAGTTGGATTGCTAATGTGCTGACTCAAGTATTTCGCATACTATGTGAATCTACAACAAATATCCATGTTAACATCTTTGTTTTATAAAATCGGGGATCGAACCCAAGAAATCTTGCACTAGATGCGAGTAAGCTACCACGAAATGTCTTACGCGGTTATATATATTAAACTTTTCTTTACACAACAAAAGGACAAAAAAGCTAAAAAAAAAAAAAAAACCCGCCTGAAGTGAGTTTTAATCAGAAAAGGTTTCTGTTTATCTTTATCTTACATTCGTCTACCAATGATTTTGAAAATTGTAAGCATAAATCATTCCTCAAATATGTGATTTTTATACAACTTTATATCCTGCAAAATTGAATGTTAAACACATATAAATATAATATTTCCTGCGAAAGTCGACCCTCTTTTGGTAACCCGGCCTCCTCCATCAATAAAAACTGACAGCCATGATACATATATAAGAATGAAAAAAGTGGCGTTAAACGCCAACAAATCGATTAATTAGTCGAATTCAGTTTTGTTGATAAATCAGGTAAATAAAACTAATTATAGATAAGTGAAATATACCAAATGGACATTCAACGCCATAGTCCGAATATGAACTGACAACGCCATGGCCAAAAAAGCAAGTAGACATTAGTATGCAGTTCAAATTAATGTTTAAAATTAGAGAAAAATTAGATTTATGGAAACAATATAGTTTCTGGCAAGTAACTGTTATAATTGTATGGGTATTTATTGTTATCAATAGTGTAATATGACATTTCTACGAGGCTTGTCTGGGGAGTATTTTGATAACTTACAGTCAAGGTCAACATGGCCATCTCGTATGGGTATGATTAAATTATCATTTGTTATACATATTTGAATTGACCAATAACATTACAGTGCATTCTATCTTTACACTTGCGTTTAGATTATTCGGCATTCTCATAATTGCACTGAAAGCTACAGGGCGCGATTTTTGTTTCCTCCAGAAAAGTGAGTATTTTAAACTTGGACAAGAACGTTGTGAGCTAAACAAGAGGAAGAGCACAGCTTTTGACAGCAAATCTATAATTGTTGGAACTGGTTACCATAACAGTAAATGATCAGAAGGGAAAAGCCAGCTGTTATAATTCCTGTAACTGTAGAGTAAAATCTAACGCTAGTTTTGATCGGTAGCATACACTTCTTGATTTTGAGCATTACGTTTCACCGAGTATTACGTTTGTATCATTTCTTTGTTTAAAGTTAAGCATGCTTAGACTTATTTTAATATTAGAATCTTGCAAAGGGTCGATACAATTAAGGTTTCGATGGTACCGACATTCAGGTCGATTTTTCTAATTTGTTTATATGTATATTGTGTTCGAGTCATAAAGACATTAAGAAAGAACATTTTATGAACGTTTAACACGGAAATTTGTGGTGATAGCGTGACAAGAGAGAGTGAACCGGAGAAATTGGCGCGATATATCGCAACTTTCCCTGATTACATAATTATGATGTATGATGTTAATCACTTGACCATTGGCCAATTACTGCCGAGGTATTCCGAAAGGTATGGTCCGTACGTGTTTTTAACGATAATATAAACAAAGTGAATCATGTATTGTCTAAAATTCCAAAATCACGTAAAAATATTACTTTCTAAAAACATCGATCCTGGTGAAGTTTGCTGTCCGATAAAGTTCATTTTAATGATGTAGATGTGATCGCGTTAACCAAAAGTGTTTGGGCAACTGTAAGAAGTGCACATCATATGTGAAAACATATAATTTGAAGTATTTATGACACCACAATCTGAGTTTGATCATGATCATAAAATGTTTAGGGTAAAAACACCGTCTCATTTAGATTAATATTTGTCTATGTTTAAACATATGATTATCTATTCATGCATTTTTGTTTGCTGAACCAAACACTTTGCTGACTAAACCTAAGTGATTTCTATATATATATGTAGGACTCAAATCTATGGTGGGTTCCAGATCCATGGCAGATTCCTAAATTATGGTAAATATGACGTCCTGCCGTTCCAAATCTATGGCAGATTTTTTAGAATCCTAATATATGGCAAATTTTAGTTTCCTAATCTATGGCGGATTTCTAGTTTTCAAATCTATGGCAGATTTTCAGCAAAAGGAGGAACAGTCAATATATGTCTGACCAATGATTTCAAAGTTGCCTTCAACAAGTGGAAGTATGCTAAGGTATAACGAAAACGCCAGTATAAGAATAACGGACAAGAGGTACGACAACGGAAGCATATTCATAACCATTTGTGAAATAGACCTTCCATAATGATCGACCAAATCGTGATGACAACCATAAAATTTTCTTAGTAGGAAGTGAAATATACTAATACAAACTTTAGGAATAAAATGATGTGCTCCAGGAGAATAAGCATTTACTACTCTGTTCATGATACCTTGTTGACCCTGTCCCTTAACACCCAAAAAGCAGTTTTTATTAAAAAGTTTGACTTTTAACCTAATTTATTTGAGCGTTAAAAAACTGATGACGATTTAAGTCAAAGTCTTGTAATGACCAATGGCTTGTCTCAAACAAGTGGCTTTCTTAAAAAAATCCAAATTTCTCCAACAGTACAGTTATTCGACATAAATAAAGCTGAACATAATATGAATAGTTATAATAATGTATGACAGATTTTTTTTTAGTTTTCAAATGTCAAGAGGGATTACTTGCTACAATAGAACAGCCGCTGTAATAAAGCTAAAAAATGCTGTAGATTATGTTTAAAGCAAATTTGAAGAGTACCATATGGATGAAAAGGCAACAAGAAACAGCCTTTGCATGAAAAAAATTATGAAAAAACATACCAAAGTCACAGTAAAAACTCGTAAAATCAAGAAACAATGCAACACCAGGAACACAGACGAGGATAATAAAAGAGGGAGCGAAAACAAACACGAAACATAAACACAGAAAACACCAAAAACACGAAAACCATATGCATTTGTGTGAAACTGCCTGCACTAGCAATTTTGCTGCTATGAATGACTATGGTTTGTTTGCTAGTATCATCCAAATCAGATGAGTACATCTTCTCATTTGCAGGGATTTCCGTTACCGTAGACTAGAATTCTGAAATATTATCTAATTTATGGATTAGGTTCCTTGAAAACTGGCCTTTTCTTTTCCTTTTATATAACAAAACCATCAGCGTTAGCGGCAGCGTGAACATTATGCATGTTATAGTTTACTCCTCTTCCCGGAAAATTACGCAATATCAAAATCTGCCATACATTAGGAGAAAACATAAAACTGCCATAGATTTATGATTTGTTTGGCGCTTGTGACGTCACATTTACCATAGATTAGGAATCTGCCATAGATATGGAACCCACCATAGATTTGAGTCCTACATATATGAGAAAGACAAATGTTTACGACAGACGCCTGACAACCGACAACGACAGACTTTTAAGGTGTGAAAAAAGCTCACAAGGTCTTGGAGGTCAAAGGATCATGAAAACACAAAAGCTACTTTAATAGACTGGTCCCTTGGGAACATCTATTTAAACGGTTTTAGTATTGGAGTGCTTGCAATATGCACTTTGAAAACATCGCACAAGTTTAACCGTAATTTTAGTTTCAATAAGCTAGAGGCATAAATGTGTTTATAAATCCATAATTTGTACGACCCTCTGTGAATTATCCAAATGTTTCATTGATATTGATATGCCAATGATTTAACTTTTAAAACAAGATCACTTTATTGTTGAGTTCAATGATACCGATTTTCTGTCGTTTAAGATTCATCTAGGTGTGATCTTTAGACTAAAAGGAAAATCTAACTTACAGCCATAGGCATAACAATGACAATTCAAGCATTGTAATCAGCCATGTTACTTCTATCACTTTATATCTTATATACGTTTATTCAATGTGATTTTGTTTGATAGTCTTAGTAACCAACAACATAACAATGCGCAATGTTTTACCTGAGTAAGACTACTTGAATGCGTTTTCAATTTACACCATGATTATATAAGTCGAATAATTCAGATCCCCCTTGCAATCGATCTCTCTGAATTATTTGGAACTCCATAATGAATTAATATCTTCGTGAATGAATAAATGAATGAATGAATGAATGAATGAAATTTCAGTACATAACTATTCATGAGAGACAATATATAAAAAATGGAGAATGTGTCCATCGGACACAGATGATGCCCTCACTGGCATATAACGTTATAACGGGACATAACTCAAGAACGGTAAAAGGGACGCCACTCAAATTCGACTTTTATTGTAATAAGCATTGGGTATTTGTTTCATAACATTTGATTGAGGCTAACTTAAGTTAGATAACGGAAAAAAATAGTAATTTTCCATTTGTGAAGGGCCTTAACTCTAGATCTAGAACAGTAAAAGTGACACCACCCAAATTTGAACTTGGTCTGAGTTTTGTGTCATCGTGTTTTTATAAGTTTAATTTCATTTGGTTGAGGCAAACTAAAGTTAGATACCGGAAATCAATATCTTGTCCGTATGCACGTTTTGACGTACAGACAGACAAAGGTAACACGAAAAAAAGTTCGTAAAAATTATTATTTGAATGAATTTTCTAAGTCGAAGGACCATAACTCTGCAAAAAATCATCAGACTAGAACAAAATTCGGACTTGATCTGGAACTTGTAATGATAAAACTGTATATTAACTATCAAATCATTATCTTCAAGCATGACGAAAAAAGTGCGGAACACTGATTATTTAAATGAGTTTTCTAAGTCTAAGAACCCAAACTCTGCAGAAAATCATCAGACCGGAACAAAATGCGAACACGATCTGTAACTTGTCATAATAAAACTGTATACCAATTATCAAATCAATCTTTAAACACGAAGAAAAAAAGTGTGGAAAACTGATTTGCCGGACAGACAGATAGACAGACAAACAACTAAAGTACCCTTCAACTACGTCGGTAGGGGAATAATAAACGAAGACAGGAAGACAGAATTAAGGCTACAACAACGCAAGTATGCTTGGGTAAAAAATTCAATACTGGTCAGCCAAATCAATATGTCTTCGAAATTTAAAAAAAACGATGATCCGGAAATATATGTTTATATTACTTTGTTTAAGAAAATTTTTTCTTAATAAAGCACTTGAATATCATATAACTGTACTTGAGCTGCATGTGCTGCTGGAATGTTGTTTATTTATCGAAGTGTTTCTATTCATAACCTATTGAGTAAATGAGAGAAAAAAAAAATCAGCGCTAAAAATGAAAATAATCTGGCTTTTATCACTTCTCCAATATAAGTTCCCCATTTTGTGTAGTTTTCCTGCTAGTAATTTTAAAATGAAGAGTTATACATACCAGAAGTTTCCTCGGAGCATTCGTTGGAAATGTCGTCGTAATTTAGACCTTCGAGTTTCGTATATTTTTTGTTCCTTATCTTTATAGACTGTACCAGAATAAACCCTGTCAAAATTGTTAAATATCGTAAAAAGTATCGTCTGGTAAATATGTGTAATATGTTAATCCGTGTCTAAAGGAAAGGTTTATATATCCTATTGAATTATTCATTACTGTTTCGTCAAAGGAAAAAAATGTTATATGCATATTCAAGAACAAACGTATTAATAGAATATGAATATAACCCTGTATATTACTATTGTACTGAACCGACAACATGAGTTGGATATTGGACTTACTGACTCAAAGATGAATAATTTTCTTTTACTTTTACTTTTACTCAGAAAATGTTGCTTACTTAGAAAATACAAAACTCTACAGCTTTTCTATTATGAGTGACACACAACCGGATAAATATATTTTTGAAAGAACCAATGTCTCCTTTGGTTGACCAAAATTAACTTCTTTATTCGTCGTCGGGAGTTGCTCACAGACATACATGTATACATAGTTGCTTATTAGTAATTTGTGCTCTTGAAAAGGAAAATCAGGGGAAATTTTACAAATTACTTCTCTCTGGAAAACACAAAGAAATAGTGGAAAGTATGGTCATACCTGTAGTAGCAGCTGTTACGACTATAACAATCGAAATTGTTGTCACCAGAGTGTACGTTAACGTCAAAGGTGTATATCCGTTCTCTGAACCTGCAATTATATTAGATATGAGGAAAAAAAAGAGAAACTATATATATTTTATCTTTTTTTTCGTGACATCACAATAGTTTGACGTCGTCAGTGTATAACCTGATAATGAATAACCATAAAGCATAAGTCGATTACTAATAAACTTATCATATATACCAAGCTTGGAAATCTATACGCTAGGCGCGCGTTTTGTCGACAAAAGACTAATACGTCACGCTATAATACAAAAAAACGTAAAAACAGCCATATTGAGTGCGAAGTTCAAGAGCATTGCGGAACCAAAATTCCGAAAGGTTGTTTTCAAATACAGTGAATGTACATCATTGAGTTCCATACAAATTGATTGTCTTCAATAAAATATTGACATTTGGTCTGAAGTGTGACATGTCAGCATACTATTGTTGTGAAAAGACCTAATAATTGAAAAAAAACACTATCCTTGCCTGTATTGAACTTTGCAATCTTATGCTCTACCAGTTGATATTATATAGCAGAGAGGATAAATATGGAACAGTCTCCTGAATAGGTCACTGAAGTTTGTTGAAATTGACATACTTCTGCAGAATATTATATATCATATAGGTATTTGTCACTTTAAAATGACCAATTATACAACCCTCCAAAGGTACACGTGTGCATTTTAAATAACTTACAGTAAAAGTTAGACGATGTTGTATCTTAGTTTACAAAACAGCTATCTGCAGAAAGACATGTTGCTGTATCCAGTATTGCAAGGTTAACACACGAATGACTCACATAGCTGACGCTAGTATAACTTACATATATCAGGAATTAATATATTTTCTCGCTTCTCCACAGGATCGGTTAATTCATCATCAATACTAGTGTCAAGATTTCCAAAACCTATAATAAAACAAATATAAAAAGTAGCTTTTTGCTCATGGTGAAACACCACTAATGGGGGTCCGGTCTGAAAGAAGTAAATATTTAAAACAAAATAATTATGTAGAATAATTTGGTAATTTCGCAATCAAAGGAAAGCTGAATGACTGGTTATCATAAAGATAAAACCCTTTTTTAGTTTATAATTTTGAGATTAAAAAACTTATGAAATTTAAAAAGGAGGGTACATGTTCCCTGTTCCTCAGATCTGAAGTACCAATCCTGTTTTGATACTTCACAAGTTCAGAGGACCAGTACTCTCTTAAATGCAAGTAAAGGTAGGATGATTTTTACAGTAAAAGACACCATAAGGTGTTGCTTTGACATCCAAATTTAAAGCTTTACTTTTACGAATAGTAATACACCTGTAACACAATATTCCACAATTGCTTCTCAAGTTTACTGTTTAAATATCTAGAAATACTCATATAAATTCTATCAGAATATTCAAAGCACAAGTCATGTTAAATTAATGTAACGTGTTCGCTGTTTTCTATTTTCTGACAAACTTATTTTCAGAAATATATAAACTCAGGCTGGACAAGTTGAAACAAAATATCTGTTTAATGTGGGCATTTAAATATAAATACCATTATTGCACAAAAATAGCGGTTACTTTATAACCCCGCTATTGCTGAAGGTAGGATTTTCGTTTATTGTTTTGTCGTACATTTGGTCGTTGTTTTTTTGTTGCTTTTTTAATTGTTTCTTATTTTGTCATGTCGAGGCCTTTTATAGCTGATTATACGGTCTTCCTCAATATCGAGGGCCGTAATGCGACAAATAGCTGCCATATTCCACGTCATTGGGGCTCTTTTGAATAGTTGTTATAAATTATGCATATTATAATATCTTGGCGCCTGCTTCAGAAACTTAGGGGATAAGAAGTGGCATCCATGCACCCAAATAAGTGTAGAGAGAAGATTAGGTTCCGGAAAGGTTTAAGCGATTTCTGCTCCATTTTGACAAGCAAGTGTCAAGCTGTCCCAAATATATAAAATGTCCGCCTAGTTCACTGCGTGACTTCAAAAGATGACAATACGAGTACTACACATTCCGTCTAAAAACAGACGTACTGTTTAATTCAATTACGGGCCCACACATGTTGCAATGTGTTCTAGTATATTAAAAATAGATCAGCATATGTTACATATAATGTTCAGCATAGATAACTTAAAAATGTTCTGCATGGATTACTTAAAACATTTCAGCAGGATTACTTAAAATGTTCAGAATAGATTACTTAAAAGTTCAACTTGGATTACTTAAAAAACTCAGCATGAATTACTTAATAGTTCAGCATATATTACTTAAAAATGTTCAGCATGGACTACCTATAAATGTTCAGCATGAATAATTTAAAAACGATCAGCATATTTTTCTTAAAAGTCTAGCATGGATTACCTTAAAAAAATGTTCAGCATAGAAACATAATAAAGTGTAGCATGGATTACTTAAAAAATGTTCTGCATAGATAATTAAAAATGTTCAGCATGGATTACTTAAAAAAAACCAGATATTACTTGAAAATATTCAGCATATATTACTTAAAAATGTTAAGCATGGATTACTTAAAAATGTTCAGCATTGATAACTTAAAAATGTTCAGCATGGATTACTAAAAAATGTCCAGCATTGATTACTTAAAAATGTTTAGCATGGATAACTTAAAAACGATTAGCACATATTATCTGCTTTTAATGTATTACGGATATCCTTGAATTATATTGACATACCTTTGCCATTGAAGAATTTGATTAGAGTCACTTTTTGTTGTCCTCCGTTGTCTTTTTTGACAAGCATATCTACCCCAAGTGTACAACTTTTGCTACAGTTCAGATGATGATAGACATAATCCAAACTAAATACGCCGTCAGTTGAAGTACACGAACAGCTGTTGCCGGTACACTCCATGTTTTTCGTGTAGCACTTGTTATCGTATAGGCGAACTACACCTATGGTACGATGATTCACCAAGACGTTAACACTCTTTCCTATTATAGGTTTATAAATGTCAGCATGTAGTCTGAAGGATGTGGTATCAATTCTTTCAATACTAATATCTCCATACACTACCGTATCAGCATACAAAAGGCAATCATTCACTGAAAATATGGAACACTATAACAATAACAACTCATTTAAGGCGGTATGGGTGTCTTCCGCCGTCCCCGATTGTAAAGTTGAAAAACACAATAGGTCTAGAATTCGAATAAGGTGGGCAAATTCCGATGCAGCAATGCAACCTACTTATAAGAACTTTCATTGAAATTAACACATGTGATCTTAGCTATATATAGATTATCATCATTCATATTTTTACAAAAGTAGAATAGTTTTGCTTGATTTCATTTGTTTTGTAAACTTGGCGTATTTACGAAGTATAATTTATAGGAAAGGAATCTTTCAGGATTTTTTTCTTTTTAATGTTATAGCAGGGAAACAAAGAAGTACGGTGACCTAATTTTTTTCTTCTAATATTGTGAAAGCATTTTATAGGAGCTATCTTCTCATATTTTATTTTAAAATTATATCCTTTAGTTTACTTTCTATTAACATTATGGTCGTTTTTTTTTCTTTCTGTATAATCATGTCCCATTTTGAAACAATGTGTAGCTTGAAAACAAGCTGTGTGGCCTAACATTTTTATATTTTTGAACATATCACTATATAAACTACATTTTGGCAAAGTATGAAAAATTTCAATATTTTTTAGTTCATGATCCCATACTACCTTAAACGCAGAACATATTAATTGTATAAGCAAAAATCAAAGTGTTTAAATTCAATACTATTACAGTATTTTTAACGTCATCTAACCATTTGGGACTATAAAAATAATTTGAGCTATATAGCATAATTTTATATGAACAGATCTGTATAGTTCTAGCTTGTAATTTGCTAATCAGAAATGCAAACACAATTGTCTAAATTATCACTGAAACTCAAAACTTGGTTAATGTGTCGACGGCATAGCTCACTGAAATAATAATGTCTACAGCATAGACATAAAGTGTTAAATAAATGGTTTGCTTAAGGTCTCAAAAAAACTTATGAAGAAATGTGTTGCTCTCTATTGTTCTTTTGCTGTTGGCTTTTATGTTAACTGTTTTAAATTTCATTGAATGAATGTCTTTTTTATGATAACCTTGAAATGATATTTTTGTTCATGGGCGATTGTTTAATATGTTATGCCAACGCCAATTTGTCAATGAAAATCATACGAAGTCATTCATACAACTGAACAACTATCGGAACGTTTTGTACACATACAACAGATTTTGTTTAACTACTTGATGCTATTTCATATTCTACCCAAAAAAGAATTGTGCAGACAAATTGCAGATACAAATGATAATAGCATAATTTATCAGCTGGAATATTAGACCCTTCTTGCGTTAAAAGTTAAAACATTTGATCACTAACAATAGCACTAAAATTCAAATATACTTGATTTAATAAATCAATTTATTGAGAAGGATACAGATTACAGATTCTAAAAGGGGATCTCCGTATCTGTTTTCTTTAATTTTTAAAGCCATTCTTGTCTTTTTTTATTCTTTTTTGTTCATTTTCTCTATATTCTCTATTTGTTAAGCCCATTTTCTATATTACATAAAAATAAGAGATGTGGTATGATTGCCAATGAGACAACTATCAACCAAAGTTCAAATAAAGTGGATGTAAGCAATTATAGGCAGCCGTGCGGCCTTCAACAATGTGAAAAACCCATACTGTATAGTTGGCTATGAAACTTAATGGCCCCGACATGAAAAATATGAAGCAATTCAATTTATAAAAACAAACGGCTTAGTTTATCACAAAACAATTTGCGAAAAACAAATATTACAGACACAAACCAACGACTTGGGACACGAACATAATGTGGCGGGGTTAAACTAGTTTCCAGGCACCATACCCTTCCCTAACCGGGAACAGTGGTGCAAGAGTACAACCCATACTATATAGTTGGCTATGAAACTTAAAGGCCCCGACATGAAAAATATGAAGCAATTCAATTTATAAAAACAAACGGCTTAGTTTATCACAAAACAATGTGCGAAAAACATATTTTACAGACACGAACCAACGACTTTGGACACGAACATAATATGGCGGGGTTAAACTAGTTTCCTGGCACCATATCCTCCCCTAACCGGGAACAGTGGTGTAAGAGTACAACATAAGAACAAACTATAAAAATAAGTTGAAAAGGACTTAACTCATCAGATCGACACAAAGCAGAAAACATCTAACAAAAACACAGAATTGAACGTGGGAGCGTACTGTGGATTCATTTATTTTCGTGGGTATCAATTTTCGTGGATTGAGGAAATCTTGCATTTTCGTGGATATTTAATTTCGTGGGTTTGCCAAAGTCTGCATACAAACCAATGGAAAATTTCTAAATCGTTGAACATTTAAATTCGTAGTTTACCTGTACACATGATATCCATGAAAATTGGTATCCCACGAATAATAACGAATCCACAGTAGTTGTAGTTACTGGCAGTTTTTTCAAAGCCAAAAACACCAGCTACTAATTAAAGATAATGTATCTTTGACTAAAATATCAATCAGTACAACCCATAATTCAATGGATTTAGTGTAAGGACGTCATTTCCAGTCAGAGACAAACATGACCCTGTGCAATGCCAAAATATAGGTATCGACAGATTGTAGTAACGTGAATTAGCATATATGTATAACAATAATATTTAGTATGGTTATAATTTACTGATATAACAAAATTTATATGTGTACCAATAAAATAATACTCAAAGATGTAATTACAGTGTTTAATTAGTAAGCTTTAAGAAAAAGTTTTATTCAAAAGGATTGATTAGTTTACCCGGATCGTATCTAAATTTCCGGGTTCGGTAAACAACATTCCCGTAAAAATTAGGATCTGCTATTAAAGTAATTATTTGAAATAGGTTTTTTATAGGTACAAGAAAACCTGCAAACCAAATCATTGTATCTATGGAAGAATCTGGTAAAGGTTGTAAGTAATTAGTGGTAACAAAATCCCTGACTTTATAATTACCAGTAATACATAGATTACTCTCATTGAAATCTAAAACGTTATGCATACTTTATCAACACTCTCATATTAAGGTACAGCTACAATTAGATAGTTTTATCCATGTAATGCATTTAACAATTTAATTTAACCCCCACTTCTATGTTCCTAGTTTTATTACATGTATATACATGACATAGTTTAAAATTCCATTTTGAAAATCTAATAAAATCTTTGCTAATTTTTTTTATAGTTTCTTAAAAGAAAAAGATCTCAATGGTAAATAGTAGAAAAATCTAGAGAGAATCATTTCCCGCCAAATTTCCTATTGCTTGTATTTCGAAAATAAGAACATGGACCTTTCATTATTTTCTGTTTTTTAAGTGCCATTATTTATATACTACATATTTAAAACAGTCTTTTAAAAAGCCTGTAATTTTTAAACAGAGGGTCAAACAACTTAAAAATATATTTGAAGAAATAGAACTTACTGCAGATAAAAATCCACATGACTCGCATGAACAGACATTCCATTCTTCCTACAAAAAACATAACAAATTACATACAAAATGTACAAAAGCCCCATAGGGACCTTATTAGGATTTTGAACATTTGTTTAGTTTACCAATTTATCGATCTATTTAATTTAGTGAACCCAAATTTGTTTTTCAAAGATATTTATTTATATAAAATAAGATCCCGATTTACTGAACTAAGGTGTCATTTTTCCCGAATTAACAAGTCGAGATCTAGCCGAAATCTTAAGAAAATGAATCGAAGAAATCTCTGACAAACAAGTCAGCATCTCATTTTACCCAATGGATGTGGACTAAATTTATGAAGCTGTCGGCCAAATAAATTGACATCCCCTTTATCTGAACGGAAATTTCGAATTCAAATAATAATACAATAAAATGCTCCGGAGGGCTTACTTGATAATTTTAGGAGGCTAAATATCAGTGTGCATAGTGATACTCATTTAAATTGTTCTTAAGTCAAATTATTAATTTCTTAAGACTTAGTTACCAGTCATACCTTTATTCATTTCCTACTGCATATTTTCCTTGCTATATTGTACATCATTCTAAGTTATAATAAGAACAAAACTACACATAGGCTTATAGGAAATCAACACAAATAGAGTGTTTCACTTTGGTTCTATAAATAAAACCTGGTTATTATGTTGATTTCATTTTACACTTGACGTCATTAGAAAAAGAATTCAATATCTTTCGAGTAGTTAAAAATAGATACCGATTTAGTCATTTAAATTAAATATATTTCATTTCGTTTGAAAATGGGTTTTCCCGTTTGGTATTTGTATTAATTATATATAGATGGGAACTAGTGTAACTAGTTCTGAAACTAGTTCTGCAAGAGTATGTACTATTTATAAAGTTTGATGGTACGTGCACAAGGCACGAGAAAAGTTTTGGCGGTTTCTACGGGTGGGGTTTTATGGTACTATATAAAGTTTGGCATTTAAATGTATTAGTATCGAAGGTGCTCGCAGTTACGTCGAATCGTCACGAAGTTAGTCACATTAGTATATATACAGTGGCTGCTATGTTTTTAATACATGTATTTATATATGTTGGTTGTATAAAAGAAACCTGTATTATAAAGTTTAATAAAATAATGCATCGCAAGAGAAGATAATATGTTACTGCGAGCAACTAATCCTATTTCTGTGTTTGTTTTGTTTAAAGCCTATTGAATTTAGAGTAGAAATACTTTAAATTCGGACGAGCAGGGCGAGGGAGAATTTAAGTGTATTTATAAAACTGTCATAGAAATTCTTGTTAATTGAAACGGACAATTTTGCAAAGCGGATTTTTCAAGCCTATTTCAAATAAAGGGACGATCAAGTATTTTGATTATAGAAGTTATAATCTTTTCACTAGGTTTGACGACATAAGAAAATGTTCATTCTATATTGAAAACATTAACGGTACCTATTCTACTGTAAAGGCGAACGTATCTCAATGGACCAACAGTGTCCCCAATATTTAACTTATCAAACAATCAATGTTTATAACGAAACCGACAACAGAGGATATTGAAATTTTGTTTCAAAATATTCATAATAATCTGACACTTTCTATTGTCTAACTTGAACATCAAATTTTACTAAAATTTGGCAATCATGAAAATCTTTAAGTTCCTATTATTTCATTTTTTTTATATATGAAAATAAGGGTATATGGTATAATTTATAATGAGACAACGATTATTAAGTAAAAATAAAATAAATAAAATACAAAAACAAAAGTAAACAATGACAGGACACAGTACGTCTTTCAACAGTGAACAGAGCATAGAGTATGGTAACCTATAAAAAACCTTGATAAGACAAAAATGGAAAACAGTTTCAATAAAAACCTACAGATTAATTTACACTTCTTAATTAGCAGTTAATTTCTACATCGTTTGGTCTCTGGTGGAGAGATGTCTCATTGGCCATGTCTTCTTATTTCTAGATATAAACAAATATGAGAGACAGCAACCAACGAAAAACCGTGGATTGCAGCTTCATGGCTTGATAAATAGAGCTGCAAAAGGTGATGGGGAGGTGTTGAATCCTCCTTTTTACCTGGAACAGTTGTGAAAAAAAAATACATAAATCTAAATAATCCTTTGGAAAGGTCTGAACTTATCAGCTTAGTACTACACACAAAACAAATGTCAAGTAGTAACTCAGCTACGTTCTCTAAAACTAAATTTCACTCAGTGCATCCCCGATGAATTTAGTATAAAATGCACTCTGAGAGAACATTGTGCAATGTCAATATATATATAAGAGTCGTCATGATGTATTCCCATTTGTGGTTATACATAGATAACAATACAGCTATAGTTTTGTTTATAACTATTAAAATAAAATCAATGTAAGTACTGATAGAGACAACATGTAAGTATTACTCTATTGCGTTATATATATTTCACATATTTCCCATAATTATAAAAATAAGGAGATGTAGTACAAATGATTGATTGCCAATGAGACAACTATCCACCTAAGTTCATATGAAGTGGATGTAAGCAATTATAGGCAACCGTACGGCCTTCAACAATAAGAAAAATACATACCGTATAGTCGGCTATAAAAGGCCCCGACGTGAAAAATGTGAAGTAGTTTAATAATGAAAACTAATGGCCGAATTTATAACAAAACCATGCCCATATTGAACATATAACCCTGACTTTGTAACCATTTACAATATTACAGATTGTAAACTGCTACATATCTATGAGAATGAATCAAACTAGTATTGAGATACGAACTAATTTCTTTTTAGTTGGACGATACTGTTATATAAACAATGCCTTTCCAGTTGAAAACGAAACCAAAAATACGTTTTAAGTGTAAATGATCACATTACCAAAAAATGATTATAATCTAATATTCCCTACTTACCTTAGTCAGTTTTCAGATAACAGAAAATGGTAACATTTTTTCTTTATGTCTCTTCGTTTTAATACGATATTACTATAGTTATGTTCGCCATTGTAACTAGTGCGCATGCTCAGTTTGAAGATATAATTCAGGTAAAACATATTTTTATTCGAAGAAATCTATGGGTAAAATTATTAATATTACATTTATGAAGGGAATAAATGAAACTTTTGAGATCAGTTCCAAATACATTTATTTTTATGAAGATAATTTATCAGGTTCTAGAGCAATATCAATTTCTACCAAAATATAACTGTCGAAGGATATTACAGAATACTTATTATTGCATCAGCCTTTGCATATTATGTGTTTTATTTTCGAAAATCAGTTTTCAGAAAAACAAATTATAGAAAAATTGAATAAAGTTGCTTTTATAAAGAAATATAAGAAATTAAGTTAACTTAGTTTCTAAATTTAAAACTTTGTAATTCCAAAATTTTTATTTTTAAATTATCGCAATGATCCATATAAATAAATAATATTTTTTCTAATAGTTATTTTTAAAAAGAAAATTATCAATACCGATAAGGTCATTTAAATTTGTTGGTTTGACTTAGTACTATGACTCAAGTTCTTCTTACTCGATATTGTAATTATTGTTAATTATAAACATACCAAGCATTATAGAAAAATAAACAAATGACATATTTTTATAAAGTTTGCTGAGTGAGACTTTTATCTTTCAACTAGTTTTAAATGAATATTTAAAAGGTAAGTGTAAAATGGCCATTGTTTTGCTATTTTTTATACATGTAAGATTTTGCTGTCTGTCTTTCAAGTTGAAAAACGAAAATAAACATTATGGTTTAAAAACCCAGCTTTTATTCAAATATGAATGAAAATATTACAAAAAAAACATTATTAAATTTTTCTTACTTACCTTAATCAGTTTTCAGGTTATTCAAATTTGTAACTTTAACTCTGTTGGTCATATCGATTGTGATGCAATGTAACTACAGGATATTAATTTGCCGTTAAAACTGGTGTGCATGCTTAGATGATCATAGTTTTAAGACCTCATTCAAAATACAAAAATATATATTCGTCTAAATCTATAGGCAAAATCAAAAAAGCATTTCTGAGGAGAACAATTGCCACACCATAGATCAGTACTAAACATGTCTATTTTAATGAAGTTACTATAGTAGATTCCAGTGTAATATTAGTTTTTACCAACATATGACTGTCGATGGATATTACAGAATACTTGTTTTTTCATTAGCTGTGCATATTGTACTTTTTATTTTCGAAAAGCAGTTTTTAGTAAAACATAGTATACAATGGGGGAATAACGTTGCTTTTATAAAGAAGAATAAGAAATCAACCAACGTTAATATAATTGCTAAATTTAAAATTTTGTAATTCCTCAGTTTCTATTTTTAAATTTATGACCCATAAACATAAATGTAAATTTTCCATACGGATATTTTTGAAGAGAAAATGATCATTTCCGATTAGGTCATTTTAATTTGTTACTTTGACTTAGAACTATGGCATAAGTTCTTCCAACGGATATGGTAAGTACACAATGTATTGTATATCATAAACAAATGAAACATTATTGAACGTTTAAATGTTAAATGGCCATTATTTTACAAATTTCTTTTAACACTTAACATTTTATCTATCTTACAAGTTGAAAAACGAAACCAAAAAGAAAAGGGCTTTAAAAACACCAAGCTTTATTTAAATGTGAATGAAAATATTACAAATAAATTAACATGATTAAATATTTCTTAAGTATCTTAATCAGTTTACAAATTAATTTAAAATGGTAACAATATTTCTTTTGGTCAAATCGTTAATGATGCAATGGTATTCCGGAATTCTATTCGCTTTTATGACTGGTGTGTATGCTTAGATGATCATAGTTTAAGTTATAATTAATGTTAAAATCTATATATATTCGAGTAAACCTATAGGCAAAATCATTTATATTATATTTCCGAAGAAAATGCCATATTATAGATCAGTACTAAATCATATTTAGTTTTCTGAGATAATACATGTATATAACGTTCCCGTGCAATATCAATTTCTACCAAAAATATGACTGTCGAGTGATATTATTGAACATTGATTTTTCGTTAGCTTTTGCATATTTTGTGTTTTGTATGTGTTTTAAAAAACATTTTTTTATTAAAAACGAAGGACATATTTTTATAAACATTGTTGAGGGAATTTTTATTATCTTTTCAGTATTTTTGAATAAATATTGAAAGCTTATGTGTAAATTGTTCATTATTTTGCTATCCCTTTTTACATATAAAAATTTTTCTGTCTGTCTTTCAAGTTGAACACGAAATAAAAAATTACATTTAAAAAAACCCAGCATGTATTCAAAATCTAATGTGAATGAATATGTTACCAAAATTGAACATAATTCAATTCTTCTTACTTACCTTAATCAGTTTTCAGATTATTCAAAATGGTTACATTATCTCTTTTGGTCATATCGTTTATGATGCACGAATTATATTCGCAATTTTAACTGGTGTGCATGCTTAGATGATCATAGTTTTAAAAGATAATTCAGGTAAAAATTAATTTATCTGCGACTAAATCTAAAGGCAAAATAATTCATATGAAATTTCCGAAGAGATGTCATTTTATAGATCAGTACTATTGTGTTATCAAATGGGTGTTTTATATTAATCCGGTAATATTTTCAAGTACCGTCGTATTAGTTAGAGGTAAAATATATTGGCCCGAGGCTTAGACGAGGGCCAATTCAGCTGATCGAGACCCGATACGACTGTACGCAGACATAATACAGGATTATTATGAAATCTCCCATTTTATGACACCTTTATTAACCAAAGAATATTTACTAAAAGCTGACTGAGGATAAAAACGACTATAGGAAGACTCATACGGGATCAATACGAATTATTCGGGTTGATTATCATTTTAATGCATAAAATGTCGAATAACTCTGAAAAATGATAATGTACGATGAATTACTCTTTAATTCCCTGATTAGAAAACCTTTGAAGCTGTCGATTTTTACACGACTTTCAAAATTATATCACTGACGTATGTTAACAAGATGGCAACATCCAGGTAAGAACTGGCCCATGGACTGAAATGACGAAGCACGAAGTATTTGAAATCCATATTGTGCCGAGGAAAGCTTTCACAAACGGCCCTTTTTAGGGCCGACAGTAGTTTACATAAAAGAGTCGTTATTTTTTGTACCTATTAGGCATTTTTAAGTTTTTAAATTACACAAATATTCTCTGACGTAGGTGTTTTGATAAAAAAATTTGTTCTTAAAGTTAGACATGTGCAAGAGCTTCTTTAACATGTATTTTCAATGGTTCAAAGGACCCTCTGGTATAATTAAACAAATGTGACCCATGCAAATCGTTTATTGTTGACCATTCTGGATATTCATACTTTCTACCGTCAAAAATTGTATAAACCCCAAGAAAAAAAAATGGTAAAACATATTGAAAATAACAACAACTCTAACATCAAACATGTTAACTGAAATCTTGTTTTTCGCGTAACTCACACATTCAATTTCTGACACCTTTTTGAACCAAAAACCGGAAGTTAAAATCCTGTATTGAGACCAGCAAAAATTCTGTATTAACCGGTTTTTTTTGTTTTGGACCTGTATTAATGACTAGCTCTTAGACACATGAAATCGTACAAAATGGACATTTTATAATGTATTCTAAGTTATTAATTAATAATCAAACATATTTATTTTCATGAAGATAATATATTAGGTTCCAGTGCAATACCGATTTCTTTCAAAACATAACTGTCGAGGGATATTATTATTATATTTTTCATTAGCTTTTGCATATTGTGTGTTTCATTTTCGAAAACCAGTGTATGACTCGTCAATTCATTTTTAAATTCATCGCAATGATTTTTATAATTAAAAAAAATAATTCCCAACGGTTATTTTTGAAAAGAATAATTTCAATACCGATTAGGTCATTTAAATATTTTCGTTGACTATGACACTAGTTCTTCTAACCAGATATGGTAAGTATTGTCTATCATAAGTAAACGAAACATTATTAAAAACAAAGGACAAATTTTTATACAGTTTGTTGTGGGGAAACTTTTATCTTTTCAAATGAATATTGAAAGCTTAAGTGTACAATGGCTATTATTTTGCTATTTTTTTTATACATGTAAGATTTTCTGTCTGTGTTTCAAGTTGAAAACGAAACAAAAAATGACGTTTTATTAAACCCAGCTTTTATTCAAATGTGAATGAACATATTACCAAAAAAGTGAACATCATTCAATTTTTCTAACCTACCTTATTAAGTTTTCAGATTATACAAAATAGTCACATTATTCATTTGTTCGTCCTATCGTTTATGCTGCAAATTTGCTACAGGAATTCTAATCGCCATTATATTTAATGCGCATACTAAGATGATAATACTTTGAAGACCTACTGTTTTACCTTAGGTAAAAAAAATATCTTTATTAGAACTGATATAAAGGAAAAATTATTAATATTACATATCTATATCTGAAGAGAAAAAATGCCACATATAGAAAACTTCTAAAATATATTTATTTTCATAAAGATATTACATCAGGTTCTAGTGTAATATCAATTTCTACCAAGATATGACTGTCGAGGGATATTGTAGAACACTTGTTTTTCATTAGCTTTTCCATACTCTGTGGGTCTGTCTTCGAAAATAAGTTTTCAGAACAACGAATTATAAAAAGGAAGAATAAAATTTGCTTTTATAAAGAAATATAAGAACTAAAGATAACGTTGGTTCTAAATTTAAAATATTATAATTCTTAAAATGTTATTTTAAATTTATCGCAATAATCCATATAATTGAAAATAAATTTTTCCAACGGTTATTTTCGAAAAGAAACATGTAAAAACTGTTGAAGTCATTTAGATTTTTTGCATTGAAGCAGTACTATGATACTAGTTCTTCTAACCAGATATGGTAGATATTTTAAATTATAAACAAACAAACCATTATCAAAATAAAGGATGCATTTTTATATACTTTATTGAGGAAAACTGTTATCTTTTCAGTGGTTTTAAATGGATATTGAAAGCTTAAGTGTAAAATGGCCATTATTTTGCTATTTTTGTTTTAAACATATAAGATTTTTCTGTCTGTGTTTCAAGTTGAAAACGATACAAAAAATGACGTTAAATAAACCCAGCTTTTATTCAAATGTAAATGAACATATTACCAAAAAAGTTAACATCTTTAATTTTTTTTACTTACATTATTGAGTTTTCAGATTATACAAAATAGTTACATTATTTTCTTAATGGTCCTATCGTTTATGATGCAAAGATGCTACAGGAATTATATTCGCCATTATAACTAGTGCGCATACTAAGATGATCATAGTTTGAAGACATAATTTAGGTAAAACAATTTATCCTTATAATCTTTATAAGAACAAATACATATAGGCAAAATTATTGATATTACATTTCTGAAGAGAAAAATGCCATCTTATAGACAACTTCTAAAATATATTTGTTTTCATAAACACAAAATATCAGGTTCTAATGCGATATCAATTTCTACCAAAATATGACTGTCGAGGGATATTGCAGAACAGTTGTTGTTCATTACCTTTTTCATACTATGTGTTTTGTTTTTCGAAAATCAGTTTTCAGAAAAACGAAGTATAAAAAAGGTAGAGTAAAGTTGCTTGTATAAAGAAACATATGAACTATAAGATAACCTATCTTCTAAATTTAAAACATTGTAATTCTTTTTAAATGTTATTTTTAACTTCATCGCAATGATTCATATATTTGAACATAAGTTTTCCAACGGTTATATATTGAAAAGAAAAATGTAAAAACCGTTGAAGTCATTTAAATTTTTTGCGTGGACTTAGTACTATGACACTAGTTCTTCTAACAATATATGGTAAATATTTTAAATATAAACAAACAACACATTATTAAAACAAAGGACACATTTCTATATACTTTATTGAAGGAAAATTTGATCTTTTCAGTAGTATTAAATAAATATTAAAGTGTAAAATGGTCATTATTTTTCTATTATCTGAATTCATATAAGATGTGTCTACCTGACTTTCAAATTAAAAATGAAACCAAAATTTATTTTTCGAAAACCCCAGCGTTTATTTAAATGTGAATGAACAAATTACTAAAAAAAACTGACCACTTTCAATTGTTCTTACCTTAATGAGTTTTCAGATTATACAGAATGGTTACATTATTTTTTTTGGTGTCCTATTGTTTATGATGCAATGTTTCTATCGGGATTCTTTTCGCCTTTATAACTAGTGCGCATGCTTATAGAATCATAGTTTGAAGACATATTTCAGGTAACAACTTATGTTTATTCGCATAATTTTTTTGCAAAATTAGTAATATTACATTTCTGAAAGGAAAAATTGACACATTATCGATCAGTTCTGAAAGATATTTATTTTCTTAAAGATAAGATACATTGTAATACATCAGGTTTTAGTGCAATATCAATTTCTACCAAAATAGGACTGTCGAGTTTTTGCATATTATGTGTTTTATTTTCGAAAGAAAATTAGTTTTCAGAAAAACGAAATTTAAAAATAGGGAATCAAGTTGCTTTTATAAAGAATTATAAAAAAATCAGATTATCTAGTTTCTAAATATAAACTTTGAATTTCCTCAGCTTTATTTTTAAATGCATCGCAATGATCCATATAAATAAATATGGATTTTTCCAACGGGTATATTTGAAAAGAAAAGAAAAATCGATCAATTAACTTTAAATATTTGCTTTGACATAATGCTAAGACACATGTTCTTCTAACATGTCTAACGAGATATGGTAAATATTGTAAAATTTAAACACACCAAGCGTTATTTAAAACAACGGAGAAATATTTAGATCTTTTGTTGATGTAATGTTTTTTTATCTTTTCAGAAGTTTTAAATAAATATTCAAGGCTTAAGTACAAAATGGCCGTTATATTACTGTTTGTTTTATATACATGTAGAATTTTTCTGCATTCATTTAAGGTGTTGGCAAGGAACTTAAAAGAAAATGGATTCGTCAGGAAGTAACAAAAATGCTCACGACATAGCACTTAACAGAAAAAAGATCTTGAAAATGTATAGAAAAAAAATATTGAGACCGAAATGTAACGTAACAAATAACCTGTAAAGGTGAATGCAGCATCATTTACGGACTGCAAAAAATCCACATAATCAAAATTGTTAATAATATTACTAACATTCGATACCAATATGCCCAACTCATTAACTAAACACATGATTTGACATTACAGTTGATAGTAAAATAACCTGCACGTCGGAGATTCTTCTACAACTATTTTTTTATACAAATCGGTTTAAAGCTTGATATGTTGAAACTCTGTTCATGCACCTAAGCCTTACCAAAAATGTATTTTACTTTCGTTAACATAGTTGAACAAGACATTTTGTAACAAAATATCTCTTTGAGTAAGACCTTATATTTAACGATAAGAAGAAGATCTTTAAACCTTTCTATTCTTACGAATTAAAGTTTCTATCAATCCAAAAAGTTTGAAGCCTTAAAGCAAATATACTCACAATTTCAACAAAAAATAACCTAGGAATTGTAGACTAGTTTCTTGTGAACATTTGAAGCAATTTAATTGACGGAGTTTATATAATTTTTGTTGATTTTCGAAATCAAGGAACAAAAAAGAGGCCTTATCATACCTATTTCTTTTGTAAACAAACCTAGTGGAAAAAAAAAAACCTTGCTATCATTTCAGTACAGTGAATGCAGTGAAAAAGCGATGAGGAGAAGATATCAAGACAAAAGCGGAGCATTCTTTGATAGGTAAAGTGTTTGTTGACATTAAGAAGTATGATTTGTCTTTATAATTTGTGCAAAAAATAGTCAACTGCAACTTCAATTAGATCTATAAATGCAAAATTAACATAACATGCACGCACTTAAATTAATGCAAGTGTAAATACTATAATAATGCCTGGATCTTTCAGGTCTCAAGTTCTTGTATTAATAATGAAAGGGCAGATGGATGCTTTTAAAATATCCTTTTTGACCTTAAATTCCAAAGTCCGCTTGGTTGAAACTATAGTTGAAATATGTAGAAATTAATTTAACAATGCAATACTTTGCCTATTTAAACAAAATCTTCAAATTGATCGTTAAGCGTAGAAAAACAAACGAAGAATCAATGACAAATTGGAACTTGACAATTGAAAATTTGAAATCTTCACGATATTCTAGTTTAAAGATGTTAAGCTGTGTCGATATCGAGAAATAAAAATATGAAGCAGACCTTCTTGATTCGGTAGTATCCTTACTCTGAAGTTCACTTGGATATATGAGATGGAAACACTCATTGAAATGGGAATTATTGAGTGACAAAACATCCGCAATACATCTGAAAGTGAAATTTTAGAAAATTGCAGATTTTGTATTTCTTTTTTCTCTTTGAGAACGTTTTGTATGAGTTCTTCTTCATATGAGTACGAAAAAGTCGGGCAGTAGATTTGCACAATTAGTGCCAATTGGAATTCCGCCTGTCTGTTGAAATACAAACCCACAAAACACAACAAACATGATGTCATTAAAATAGACCCACAATTTGTTAAATCATATTCGGTGCATTTTTTGTTCGAATCAGTGTGGTTTTCTCACAAAATATGATAGTCAATACATTTTGTATGACATAAAACAAGAGATTTGTATCTAAGACTCCCATTTTTGTAAAAAAGTCTCTGTGTAAAGAGACAGAGACGATGTAGTAGATCTTTAAATTGAGCAAACGGAATAGTAGTAGAGCAATCAAAAGTTTTGATATTCCTGCAAAATTGCTAAGATTGAGCTTGAAGAGTATGAAGTAAATCTTTTGAATTTTCAAGGACCCGTAACTGTTGTTATTGATACCACTGATTAATCTACCTCAGAGCAATATTTCTGACAGTCATTTTTAACTGTTGATAGAATGATGGTTAGTTTATGTATCCAGTAAAATGACGTAAGATTTTTATCGTCCTTATATTTATATTGAAGGAGAAAAGGACGGATTTGTGATTTTGTAAAATTTCCTCTTTAATTTATGATGTAAGGTTAATGTGGGATACCATGGATACACAGTGTTGTTGTGAATTCTGAGTTCTTTAGTTAGACGTTCCAAAGAATGATTGTTGCATTATAAAAATGAAATATTGCTAGATGCAATGTCTGTTTGAACAACACATTTTTCGTGGAGTTACAAAAGACATCCCCAACCTCCAATTTCTTTAAGCGGTTCCAAACCTGTGTTTTGTCATTGCAGATTTTGATTGCGCTTCTGGAAAGATGACCGTAAAATCTTTGATCCATTTAGATAAATTGTCTAGTGTTGATTAATCTGGCTCGCCCTTTTCAATTTTCTTGTATTGTCCTAAATTCGACATCAACCTGACGTTTTACTTCCAGTGATTGGTCTTGTGAATTTTTGAATAATGCGGGCATTAGCTAACAACTCTCTTAGTCATTCAAATTTAACGTTGTAAAGGTCTCCAGTAATCACATGACTAATTGCCCTATATTTATATTGGGTTTTGTCATCCTTGATTGAAAAGGTATCTACACTTTTTTGTTGTTAAAAAGTATAAAATAGGCTTAGAATGATAGATGAAGGGTTATCGTTGGATCAAAGTCATTAATAAAACTGCATAACTAAAAATATGATTAACTTATTTATTTAAATTGGGTGTTGAGAATTCTTCCCTTACTGTATAGTCGGTTATAAAAGGCTACAATCACATTATATTTTCATTAACACCAATGCAAGATAAAATTGGTTACCGTAGGAAACATAGCACTCTTAGTATCATTAACCTTAAGGTTTAGTGTATATCAATAATGAAACCGATCTTTTTGGTGTGTTAATAAGTTTACACTTCCTTATAATTTGCAAAATCAATGCAAAATATATCTTAAAGATTTACATTTTAGTTGCATCTCCATCAACGATTATTTGGGAAATGAGAGTTATTTATAACATCGTATATTGCTTGTGTGTATGCCTTACTGCGGTAACAACCCAAAAGTCAGAATGTAAGTATTTTGAAAGAAAACTGCTATTATTGTTTGACCCTTGATTTGGAACAACAATAAGTACTTTGAAACTTTCATATCACAACCTTCAGAAGTATCTGTAGGTTATTCTCTTATAGTTGCTACCGGTAATTTATTTCTTGCACGGAGTGTGATACAAGTGACACGAAAACTGCGTTTATTTTTATAGGCTTATCCAGCATCATGAGCTGATACTTCGATAAATCATTGACTTTTTGTAAGGTCATTGACGACTTTCAAATTATTGTTATTACATTTTGAAGCGTACAAAAAGTTTAACAATGGCTAAAGTGCTGACGCCGGAATAAGACATATGACGTCATACTGGTATGTTCGAAAACTAGATCAATGATTCGCAAAATCTTTCATTACTCAATAGGATTGTTGACAATAAGAGAAATAGGTTTAACAACTGGTGAAAAACTCTCGCTATTTTATCTAAATAGTAATAATAAATTCCCCAAAGGCTCGATTATTCTTCTATTGAAATTTATAAATAACTCGAGTTTATATCCAGCGATATCCGATTATCACTCGTTATGTAACCAATAAATATCAATTTGAAATATATTATAATTATTTACTTTGTTTTAAGGCTTTAAAGATCTTCCATAACATGCAGAACTGGTACTTTTTGATTTAAATCTTGTCACATAAATGTAGGTGTGAGCAAAGGATTTACTCCAAACATATATGTTGTCTCAAAATATTTTATTCAAAGATGATAAAGTTTGCAAAACATCTGACTCACTACAAATTTAACTAAATGGTGTATCATGTTATGTCATGTTACAGTTGTTTTAATGTACAAAACGTCAATATCAATTAGTTCATGACATCATAGTCAAGCTGACTGTTCTAAACTGAAGTATTCAGAGTATATTACCATATTCTCTATCTGTAAAATGAAAAAGCTTTTAAAAGGATTGAACATTTTACTAATATTGCTATTTCATGCCCAAAAAATGGCTGACACAATGTATCAGACCTGCTTCTTTTTGCGTGTATTTACTAGTGTTGTCAATGGTAAACCGGTTTATCACCGAAAGAACCGAATATTAAATACCAAATACATTACCCGGTTGATCGGACTATTACTCACATTTAAGCATGATCATTGTGGCACTTAATGAGATCAATACATTTCATCCCAATCATTTCCATTACCAAAAATACTTTTTAACTATATGCTGATTTCACATGTCATTTAAACTTGTTATGGGCTAACTGGGTCCCTGTATATTTGAACTGATTAAGTAATTGTGACTGTTTGACATTTTTCAAACACCGCGGTCTTTATTCTTATGTACATTATTTGATCCTGCATAAAAAATATATCAATGTAATCCTTTAAAACAGTTTTTGAAGCAGTCAGGAACCTGTTGTTCAGTGTTTATCGTTTGTTGATGTAGTTCATAAGTGTTTCTCGTTTCTCGTTTTTTATATTGATTAGACCGTTGGTTTCCCTGATTGAATTGTTTTATACATGTCATTTTGGGGTTTTGCTTGCTGTTCGGTGTGAGCTAAGGCTCTGTGTTCAAGGCCGTCCTTTGACGTATAATTGTTCACATTGTGAATTGGATGGAGAGTTGTTTCATTGGCACGCATACCAAATCTTCTTATTTCTTTATAAGGAAGTTATCCCCATTATAACATTCATCCCTTAGCGAAGCATACTGACGTATATTTTATGCTCAACAAACGCACAAATGACGTCAAATAACGTCACATAAAACCAAACACTTTGACGCAAAGATAACGATTGAAATCAAGTGTATTATTCATTACATGTTTGAATTAACTAGCAATGATTACATTTAAATGTTACCTAAATCAATTAACACGAAGACACTTTGTTGAGTATCAGCTTGGAACAAAATGTGCAGTAAACAAATCTGTAAAGGTGTGCAAAAAATACATTGAACAGTTGTTTTGCTGTTAATATTTTACCTTTTAGTTGTTTATTTAATTTTAATTTATATTGAGTGAATGTCAGCTACTGAATAAGACTTATCACCGGGTTGGAACTTGCATGAGCAACACGACGGGTGCCACATGTGGAGCAGGATTTGCTTACCCTTCCGAAGCACCTGAGATCACTCCCATTTTTTTGGTGGGGTTCGTATTGCTCAGTCTTTGGTGTTCTATGTTGTGTTTGTCTTTTTCTATTTTAGCCCTGGCGTTGTCAGTTTATTTTCGACTTATGAGTTAGGATGTCCCCTTGGTATCTTTCGTCTCTTTTATTCTCTAAAAGCTAAGCACAGCTTAACAGAGAAACATATGATGCAATAAAAATGAAATTTTATGGTTTATGTCACTCGCCTTAGAACTTTGGTTACAAAACAAAATAAGAAGTTAATCTAAATTTTGTTCAAATGAACGGTAAATCAAACACAATTAACACACATGTGAAATGTATTTTTAGGTGATGATTTAAACATAAAATGTTCATATAGGAATGGAATATTGACCATTGATTGTAACGTTGGCAATAAGGAACTAGTGTATTTCCGTAAAAACGATGCATATAAAGGACACTGTTTACTGTATCCCAATGTTACCTGTTATTCAAATGTGAATGACGTTTTCTTCAACCAGTCTACTCATAGAGTTTATTACAAAGTCGAAAAGTCGTCACCACAAAGTATAAACGGATATTATACTTGTTCTACTGGGATTGCAAAGAATGACCAAAGATCAGGAGTTTATGTTGCTCTCTGTATGTATGAATTAGAAATTCAAAGTATTTTTAATTTATCTATGATATTTTTACAGGTGTTGTCGTTATATATCTTCAACAAATCTGTAAGACTCAGATCGACGTCCGGACTCTAATCGACGTCCGTTCCTCAAATCGACGTCCGGTCTCTAATCGATGTCCCTTCCAAAAATCGACTTCTAAATCTGACGTCATAAGGAAATAAGATTTTCAATCGACGGCTAATTCTAAGCACCTCTAATCGACGTCTGTTTTGTTGTTCTTAAATCGACGTTCAATAAAAGGCTTTTCATATCGACGCCCTTTTTATGAAATTGCCACAATGACATTACAATTTTATTTGTTAAAAATATAAGATTTTTGATCTTTCAGATTTCAAATGATACTACTTTTAAACAACTGACTGTACTTCAAATGACTATCGTTTGAGAATGTATATTGTTCCCTAGATGACTTTTAAATATCTTTGTCGTTGGGTTGTTTTCTCATAGTCGTATGTCCACATGTCATTTATTTACAAGAATATGAAAACAATACGACAACATAGATCGAGTTGATAAATTTCTTTCACCAAAATATTAATATGCATGTATATGTTATATGATGTTGAATTTTGTTTTGTTGTCATTTACTGATGATGGTTCTTTTATCTTTATTTAGTTGATTATTTGGGTCGGGAAGCGTTCTACGTTATTGTTCGCTGATAGGAGGTTCCGATCGACCGGATGTCGTATTGGTCATGTTGATAGTACACGACGTCACATTAGACGTCATTTTTGTGGGGGGTAAAAATATTGGACACTGATGTGAGCATTTTTACTTTATATTGGGCTTCGATTTGAGGAACGGACGTCAATTAGAGACCAGACGTCGAAATGAGTCAAACAAATATATTTATGTACAATATGAAATTGTAGTTGCTTTATTTGTTTAGAAAGCATTGATTTCTTTGTTCCGTCTTTGTTTTTTTTTTTGTGTTAAGAACTAACATCATGTAACAAACAAACTATGCCAACAATATATTAATCATACTTTTTATCAAAAATAGTTAACAGAAAAGGAGAAAAACGATAATAATTAATACCTAGGTAGTTTTGCGACACACAAATTATTGACAGGCAGACCCGCATATTCTATTCAAATTTTTTCCATAACTTATACTTGTCATATAACCCTTGAGTTTTTGTAAAAATATAAAATGAAAACAAATTCTTTTGTTTAATAAACAATATAGACTGTAACAACAAAGTATAACAATAATACCAAAATTCAAGATAAAATCAAAAAGGGGAAGTCCATAAAACTGTGGAAATCAACAGAACGAGTACAAGCTATACTGAAAGTAACATGGTAACAGCAAAAGTTCATGATATAATGCACATAAACTAGTTTTTATTATAAGACAGTTCATTAACACGTGGTCAAGTTTCAGTGTGTGTATGTGAATATAAAATTAAATAACGAAAGAATTAAAAAAAAAAAAAAAAACAAAAAAAAAAAAAAACCCGCTAGTTTCTAGAATTGGCAACAACAAAAAAATAATGAAACAAAGGCATAGTGTTACAACCACTGATGTTTTTTTTCCTGACAGGTGCATGCATACTTAATGAGATTGGAATTTGACAAGACGAATAAACTTATTTTATATATCAAGTCTCACCCTTTTGTTCATTTTAGAAATGGCACAGATAATACTCGTTTTACACATAAGAGGCAACAATAACCGATATTCAAAACTGCCCTAATTATGACTGTTTTTGTCTCTTAAAGAAGTGAATTCAGCTTGTATGACACTATATTTTCAGTTTTGTGAAGTTCCCGTACGGAGGTTGTACATCATTTTATCTTATTTTTATAACATTTTGTTTGATTAAAATCATATATTCAACAATTTTGCCTCTGTGCCTACAATAGCCTTTCCAACTTCTTGATGAATATGTTTTTCTCTTGCTAGCGGTATGTTGTACTCAACATGGAGTCGTTTGTTGAAGAATCTTGAATTTCATTTTTGCTTTGTTGACATGGTAAACTATCTTCAAAGTATATTACCTTTATTTTAATTAAACCTAACAGTTAAAAATTCAGAATAATCATACTAAATATTTGCGGAAACTGTCATACTCCAACGATTGGAATTACAATTACACTTACAGGTAGAATTTAAATATTGGGTCATCTCAAAGTGTAAATATAAAACGTCGTTCCAAAACAGTATATCTCCTATGATGTTTTTTTTATAGTTGAACAACGGTTTTTTGTTAAAAAAATATATGTAGTAATGTATCGCTGTTGTTGCTTTTTATATTTTGAGATGACCCCTATTTTTCTTCAACTGTAATCGTAAATCTAAGCGTAATCCTAGATAAAGACCTGTTTCCGCAAATGTCCACTATCAGATTTTTCTGTGAATAGCTTATGCACTCAAACTTCTCAGCTATTATGTACTGTTATGTAAAATGTAAAATATAACTTTTGTGTAAATCTCATACTATTTCTCATGTAAGAGTTTGCTCTGAGTGTAAAATATCAAAATTGAAAATCTTTAAAATATCATAAATCGGCCAACATGAATTGGCTTTATACTTTATACTCCTAATACTTTTATGATTTCAGATGGAACACTACCACATGACCACTTTGGTAAGTTTCTAAAATATACAGCATGTTCACATGCATAGGCCAAAGTAATAATATAGTTAAAAATGGAAGTGGAAAATTCTTATCATCTTGACAGGTTTGATCCTTCTGGTTGGAATATCATTTTTTGATAATCAATGCGTCGGTCGAATGTTTCTCACTGGTCAAAATTTAAGTATGACGTCACATTTTCTGTTCGTTTCCTTGTTTTTTTATTATGACATCACGAAGCACAATGTGCTTCATAATCATAAATTAGGACGTGAAAATTTACTTACTGTTATAACTTACTAAACATATAAAATAATAAGACGACTAACAGAGGCGTCAATCGGTCTAAGAGGCTGAGAAATTTTGGTATTATTGTTATAATTGTTCCGATTCTATTATTACAAAACATCAAGGCTGCCTAGATCTACCATTGATCAATTGTTCATTTTTTTCATGTGTTTAACGTGCATAAAAAAACGAGTTTAATCATGTCTTTAAATTTTAAAGTTTAAAGAATATGAAAGTATTGCATGATTGCCAAAGAGACAAGAATAAAAAAAGGAAAAAGATAAAAATAAAGATAGGCAACCGTACGGACTTTAATAATGAGCAAAACTCACACCACGTAGTTAGCAATACAAGGCCCGGACATGAAAATGTGAAACAATTCAAAAGAGAAAACCAACGGACTGATAAATGCTCAAAAACAATAAAAAGAAAACATATTTTGCTGAAAAAAAATTCACATAACATGCATAAGACACTAGTATTTGAGCAAGATTAAAAAAAAATATAGTTATGATATGCTACAATTAAAGATGATTTCAAAACGTTCAAAATACATTTGATGACGATTTAGGGTCATATAATCTGATTGTCTTTTTTAAAAGTTTCATTTTTAGAATCATCATTGTGTGCTTTGTTTTCAGTGACAATTGATATATATTATGTTCAAAAAAATGAAAACAACATGTTATTAATTTCATGCTTCCGAAGCGCTTTTCTGGATTTACCTTCATAAGGAACGCTAAAAGCCGAAAATTTGAAAGCCGAGGATGTATAAGAACCAACACAGTTAAAGAGCTATATAACCAAAATGTACCTAAAATATAGCTAAATCCATCTAAGGTGAACTTTGCCTTAATATGCACTCCAAATATTTGTTTTTTTAAACATTTTAGCTCAAGGTTTTTTTCTAATTAAAGCAATTCCAAGAATCGCACTAAACGCCATAAAGCTATTACTCATTTAAGCGACTGTAGACTTTTTTCTGTTACCCTAATACCAAACGAAATTAGTGTTAAAATTTCAACATTGCTTTCAACAAATTCAAAATCTTCATTGGTTCCATAGACTTAAGTGTCGAATTAAAAGAAAAATTAAAACACCACGGAACCATGTATGCACGACATTTTCCCCCTACATTATGTTAGCAACAGAAATAAATTTATGTCATTGTAATACAAGTTTGTATATTTCTCTTTACAGCGAAAAACACCAACCTTAATGTTCTAGCTTACATTATTTTGTTTGGAGTAGTTATATTTATAGTCGTAGCGATTGGTGTTTGTGTTAAATTCTACTGGGAAGGTAAATTAATGTTCAGTGAACATATTTAAAGCGTACATGTATATAAAACTATTTAAAAAGATAAAGCCCATGTTATTTTATTGTGCCCATTATACGACGATCTTAGGAAAACATTTGTGATGAAGCGAAACATTTTAATAGTAAAAATTTATGTCTTTCGATGATAAACAAAAATATGTGTTTTTATTCACAGATACTGATTTAATTTCAAGCTATGCCTAAGCCTGTTATCTTATTTCAAATACACGTAGAAATGGTTTATATTGTAAATGATGTAAGGATAACATGTTTTACTAGTTTATGAATTTTCCATAATCTTTATTGTCTCTTATAATACTGTACAGAATGACTCTCTATTTTATATCGATATCTTGCACGTAATGTAATCTGGTTATATATTTTATTGAGGGATGAGACTTAAATAAAATATTGAATTGAATTGCATATATACTGAATTATCATGCATAGGTACGTATGTGGTTTTTATTTGGCATTGGAGTTAGCAGTAATAAATCCCAAACTTTCTTTTAACTCTCATTATTCCGTATGTTTCTAATCCTCATGACTATTTAATTTAGATTCGGTGCTTTTAAATCACATGTCTTAAACTATGAACAGTAGTTCCGTGTATTAATGAAGAAAACAATTAAGCCCTATTAAAAAAATCAGAAATGAAGATAACAAGTAATTTTAAGTTATAAATAGATTTCAAACACATATTTGTCCCAATTTTTTCAATAGTCGGCATGAATATCCAGTCCTTTACTTGTTTCATTTTATAAACTTAGAAGGCATCTCATAACGCTTGAACTAATATTAGCCAGCTTAAAACTTCTTTTTATGACAATAATTACAATATCAACTTTTAACGTAATTAGCTAAATCCGACAACTAATATTCTACAGACAAGATGATAGAATTCAGACAGGTTGTTTAATCTTAGATTAGATAATTTATTAGCAGCAGTTGAAGTATTTCACTCTTCATTTAGATACTTGTTTTAGCAAGGTAGGGAAGGAGTAACACTAAGCAACTGTTGATAACTTATTAAAAAAATCATATTCGGAGAAGACATTTTTAAACATGGTTTCTTCTGCATTGGTTACCTCGTTGCTATTCATTGAATCAATCTAGTCTATCAGTAATTCAGAAAGCAGTTAATAAATCTCTTGCATTTATATAGCAATTATATATAATTAATCAGGTGATTTAATGAATTTAAAAGAATTTTAAATTTGTAAGTCTTAATTTCAGATGATAATATGAATTACTATAAATTTCAGGGTGCAGAAACATTACGAATTTTACCATTAGCCTACATCATGTTAATTTTTATCGTTTACAACTGCCTTTTAAACAAACCAATCTAATAATATTTAAAGGTAAGTACCTGTTTTTGTATGTCTTAAAATCGCACCAATATAAATTGTGTGTCTTTACCAAAAAGGATTAAAGAGCGTGACATCACAAATAAAAATTATATGGAAACAGACCAACTCAGACTATTTATACCATGCGTTGGTCGTTGTTCTTCGTCTCTGTTTTTATCTCTTATATTTGGAGAAGTCCGGTGTTTTTAATTTTTAAAGTCAATCATACATCAGTATTTATTTAATAATGTGTATGCGTACGAAGGACTTTTCTGGATTTAACTTCAGCAGGAACATTTGTAGCAAAAATTACAAAGCCAAGGACGCATAAGTATCGAAGTGAAGAGATTTATAACCAAAAAACAGACCAAAAATAGTATAAATCTTTTATGTAAACGAATAATGCAACATTTTGTAATTGTTTAATAGAGATGATTTCAGCTTCACAATTCTGAACTTTTCATTCTAAGTAGCAACATTCCAGCAGCGCCCGCATACGGACTATCTCCAGGGCTTGTATTACCTATCATGATTTCCTTGATAGATGGTTGCTGCTCACAAGGAAGCTATAAAACCAAGAGTTCCAAGTGGTGAAGTTGAAACCATCCCTTCGTTAGTTTTACGGACGCCATCAACAGTTGGTTGGCCGTTATGGAATATCCGTTTCACAAATGATAGCGGATATGTTCCTAATGTCGTTTCTACAATCCCATCCCCTTTTCCCGAATGTAACCTAACTGTTTGACTTATTATAGGGTTTGTACTAACATGATCTGCACGACGGGTGCCACATGTGGAGCAGGATCTGCCACCATTCCGGAGCACCTGAGATCATCCGCAGTTTTAAGTGGGGTTCGTGTTGTTCAGTCTTTAGTTTTCTATGCTGTGTTTTGTGTACTATTGTTTGTCTATTGGTCTTTTTCTTTTTTAGCCATGGCGTTGTCAGTTTATTTTCGCCTTATGATATAGATATAAGAAGATGTGGTATGAGTGCCAATGAGACAACTCTCCATCCAAGTCACAATTTATAAAAGTAAACCATTATAGGTCAAAGTACGGTCTTCAACACGGAGCCTTGGCTCACACCGAACTGCAAGCTATAAAGGGCCCCAAAAAAGTACTAGACTAAGTGTAAAACCATTCAAACGATAACCAACGGTCTAATCTATATAAAAAACGAGAAACGAGAAACACTTATGAACCACCTCAACAAACGACCACTACTGAACATCAGATTCCTGACTAAGGACAGGTGCAAACAATTGCAGCGGGTTTAAACGTTTTAATGGTACCAAACCTTTACCCTTATCTGAAACAATAGTGTAACATCACAACATAGAAAGAGTTTGAATGTATCTCTGGTATATTTTGCCTCTCTTTTTCAAAATACTACTGTTTTTTCTACCAATATGCATATATTGCCTAAGACGTAATTGTCACACTTATTTTGATGTTATAGGTTTTTAATTCACTTCAACTCCGTATTTAATTTGGTTGCACCAGTATTCAGCACATTGTTGTTAACGTGAAACATTATTGATACATTAAAGATTCAAAAACTCATCTTTCTGTTGTTACATATGAACATGTTTATGTTGACTTGAATCGCCAATAGTTTTTTTCTGTATATTTGGTGCTTTTAAAATATTGAATTGTTAGAAATACTAATGCATTTATACACCGGGCGTTTATTGGTTTAACCGTATGTGATACAAATATAAGAAATATCTAGTTTTCAATGAAAATACTTTATAAATATCATTGATTAGTTTATTTTTTTTACGAATGTACTGATCATTATGTTGTGTATTGTGTTTTGTTGTTTGCCTGTTTTTCTTTTTCTTTTATATCCAATGCGTTGTCAGTATATTTCGACTTATGAGTTTGAATGTAGCTGTCGCCTCTCTCTTGAATACTCGAAACACTTACAATGTTCCCCCCAAACGGCGTATATTACTTAGGCCGTTTTTGTTAGAAATATTTGGAATTTAAGATGTTCAATGCTTTCAAGACATATTTATTTCAGTGTTTAAAAAAAATGGGTCCCATTCTTAGACTAAAATTATCTGAAGCCATTTATAGCAAATAAAGGTTCGTGATCGGTGTAATGTGCTAACGTTATTTGGAAAGAGATGTTAATTGAATGTTATTTCAGGCACACTTGTATGAAAGTTTGACGATATTGGGTTATTCGATGACGTTTTAATTAGTGTATTTTGTTATATTTGCAGTTGTGATGATTATATCCTGCTTTGTATGCAAAGTTTTAACGTTTATTTTTCTACAATACCTTATTGACAACACGACAGGTATCTTTTTTTTAATATCAACAAACTTATTTTAAAGAAAACAAGTGCTAATCAAGCTGTATAAATAGAATAGAAATTGCTTTGTTTATTTGCTTCGTCATTTCCAAACAAAAATATTCAGTATTGCATACATGTAGCCAATATCTATGCATTAACTTTCTGTACAATATTCCAAATATCAGTACATTTATCACTTATTAATGTCATCTGATATTGTATATTGACAGACTTAGAATGACCGAATTGTCGCACAATATTACAGTATTTTATGAAAATACAAAGGTACCGTACATGTTAATATCAAACATTTGTATAATGATGCACATATAACTACATAAAACCATATGTATAATGATACAAATATAACAAAAGTTAAACCATATGTATAATGATACGAATATAGTTATCATATGTTTCCCAAAGTACCCAGAGTTTTGAAGAGTTATATAAAGAATGATACTTTAATAAAAAAGTAATTATAGGAAAAATACGAGGGTTACTAAACCATTATTATCAGTCATTTTGACATCAGCAAAATTACACAAAAGACATTCAGAAGTCACACATTTAAAGTGAGAATGAAATCCGTTTTCATGTACATTTAAATAAGAAAACCTGTTATGATATATGCTGAAAATATTATTGTTAGAGCTTCAATTGTTGTTGATTCAAAAATTTGAAACCGCAACTCCCAAAATTAGAGGCTTTTCATTTATCTTTTGCAGCCCTTAGTTTTATCTGTTTATTACTGGGGAACATTTTCGGCATACTAGACATCTTGATATTGGTATCAAAGAAAAAAAGAGGTATTTCAGTAGTTGTTAGTCTTATATGAATTTCCTTTCTTTTAAATTTATATATATTTTAAATGAAATATGCTTATAAATAAAAACAGTTGATCAGCAAGGAACACAACACACTATGAACTGTGAACTTATCTTAGTAAAAACCGATGAGTAATCGCATGACTCGACTTATACAAGTTTCGTGTATATTGATATAGCCGAGTTGGATGAGTTGTCGAAGGTGCTTAACACCGTGCAGGCAATATTACAACCAGGTCATGAACGCATGGGTTTTAAATCCTGTGGAGGAAAGATGTAAAGTATATGTAAAAAGAGATGTTGACCCTACATACATTTACACCTATGTTATCCCATAATGACAGGATGTTAAAGGGTTGTCAAATATTTAGATGTATAAGATAAAAACAAATGACCTGACTACAAAGTTAAAATACACATGCCTGAGGAAACAGCTGATTTGCAAAGTAGTCCATCTACATGCCAAACTATGCCATACTCTCTCTGAAATTTATCAAAACAATGTTAGATATGCAAATCCGTGGCAGCTTGTCTTCCCTCAGCGGGATTGTGACCCATATCAATGTAATACACTGGCAGCACCACCTGTACATTACCAACGACGACAAAATAAGATATATAACAATATATGTTTCTGTTGGTCAAATATCTATTATTGATTTTCCTCGGAAGAGCGCATCTTCGTTTGTATCATTGTACGAATGTACATTATAAACATAACGTCTAGATATAAGTCAACGATCTTTCTTTCGACATTGTAACCGATAAATAAATTATATTTACGACCAAAAAAGGTACAAAACAACACCAATATTAAAAGAATGAAACAGTAAATGTAAGTATTAATGCATATTTCGGGTAACAGATATCCTTCATCAGTATGATTATGATGATGTAAAATGAATTTAATCAAATTTGAATATATTCTGATTTAACTAAAATAATCTATAACGTAAAACAAATTAAAAACCAAACCACTCTTGTATATTTCTAAATTTTCAAAGTTGAAGCAGATTAGATATTTATAACAAAGACTAATCCCAAAAAGAATAGTAATTTGCGATATGAACTGGCATTATGCTTAAATCAGACCTGAAAGAGGTTAAGTTATTGCAACACAGACTACTGCGTAGATATACATCTCAAATAAGTATCAATGTGTGATTTGAACTGGTATAATTCTAACATTTCAAAGTCAATGAAGATTACGTAATTACAATAGAGAAAACAAATGTATTTATACATCCCAAATGAATAGCACTGTACGATTTGAACTGGTATATTTCTAAAAGTTGAAAGTTGACGAAGGTTAAACAATTACAATAGAGGCTACGTAGTTAAACATCCCAGATAAATAGCACTGCGCGATTTCAACTAAACCTTTCATTGATCCCATTTGGTATCAACGTCTTTTTTTATAATATGTATAGATAATAATAATATAAATAATAATAGATAAATACTTTATTTAAAGAGGGTAAAATCAGTTAGTACAATACTAATCTCCCCTGATGCCCTCTGAATAACTCAAAATATAATAATTTAATATATATATATATATATACATAATTCGTCTAAACAACAGCCCAACAATGTTAGATCTGTAAATTTGCGGAAGCAAAATTTTTGTTCTTCCCTGGCCGGTATTCGAACTCATGCTACTGAGAAATCGTGGCACCAAATCGCCTTGCACTATGCCTGACGCGCTAGACCACTCGACCACCTAGGCTCTATAATAATAAAGCTTTCGGTGGCCGCGTGTTACCTTTCCTCATCAGTTTTTATCTAGCGTCGTAACACAGTACATGATATATAAGGCATGAAGATGGAATTGTTACAGATCAGCTGAATTATCTATTGCAAAGGATCCTACAAATTAATGTAAGATGCAGTCACCCGGCCACCGAAAGCTTTATTATTATAGAGCCTAGGTGGTCGAGTGGTCTAGCGCGTCGGGTATAGTGCAAGGCGATTTGGTGCCACGATATCTCAGTAGAGTTCGAATCATTGCCAGGAAAGAACAAAAAATTTGCCTCCGCAAATTTACAGATCTAACATTGTTGGGCTGTTGTTTAGACGAATTATATATACAGAATGTATTTTCAGCCTTGTATACGTTACCACGGGGTAGTGTGACGTTACGTTATCGTTGTGCATAAATTGCGTACTTCATTTACGCATTTAGCTTTGCTTTGAATGTCTTAAAAAAACGCTTCTCCAGAACTTTTCTGTATTCCTTTCACATCACGACGACATCTGTAGAATGGGAAAAAATCTTGTCCAGCGCTCTAGACCACTTAGCCAACTAGACTGAACTAAACATTCAGCTTTCGGTGTCCCAGTGTTACCTTTCCTCGTCATGTGGTCGAGTGGTCTAGAGCGCTGCACACAGTGTAGGCGGTCTTTTCTCGATATCCCAATAGCATGAGTTCAAATCCCGACGAGGGAAGAATTAGAATTTGGTTCTGCAAATTTGCACATTTAACATTGTTGTGCTGATATATAGAGTAATTATGAATATAAAATGTGTTTTCAGTCGTGTATCACCTTCACTGGTGATCCAATGGATGGATCTGTCGGAGAGTTGTAACTTGTTTAGACGTACTCATCAAATAATTTTTTCTGTGACTGCATCTTACGATCCTTCACGACATATAATTAAGCTAATCTGCAATCAATTCCATCTTAATGCCTAATACATCATGTACTGTGTTACAACTCTAGATTGTACTGACGAGTAAAGATAATACTAAGCCACCTAAAGCTGATTTTTTTAGTTCAGTCTAAGAGGCCGAGTGGTCTAGAGTGCAGGACACAGTGCAGGCGATGTTGTCTCGATATCCCAATAGCATGAGTTCGAATCCGTGCGAGGGAAGAACTAAAATTTGCTTTTGCAAAATTGCAGATTTAACATTGTTGTGCTGATATTTAGAGTTATTATGAATATAATATGTGTTTTCAGCAGTGTATCACCTTCACTGGTGATCCAATGGATGAATCTGTCGTAGATTTGTCACTTGTTTAGACGTACTTATCAAATAACTATTTCTGTGACTACAACTTACGATCCTTCACGACAGATAATTTAGCTAATCTGCAATCAATTCCATCTTCATGCCTGATATATCATACTGTGTACTGTGTTTCAACTCTAGATTTTACTGACGATGAAAGGTAATGCTGAGCTACCGAAAGCTTAATTTTTTAGTTCAGTCTAGATGATCGAGTGGTCTAGAGCGCTGGACACAGTGCAGGCGATGTTGTCTCGATATCCCAATAGCAAGAGTTCGAATCCCGTCGAGGAAAGAACTACAATTTGCTTCTGCAAATTTTTCAGATTTAACATTGTTGTGCTGATATTTAGAGTAATTATGAATATAATAAATGTATAAGAGTATTAGGAAAAACAACCAACCAGATAATTTGATACATATCGGACAGTCCCACGACTGTACAGCATACACATATCTATATTTATACTGCACTCGTTCTATTTGAGCAGTCAAAATGCGTTGACTGTATATTTCTATGTCATATACAGTCACTGACCCGATATCACTTTTCCTCATGAATATTTAAATAGTACAGCCGAAACTATATTTAATTATTCATGACGACCTCTTCAACCTGTCCTTGTTTCCAATGTATACAACGAAGCGTGGAACGACTCATACTTATTTCTTTTACAATTGTTGAAAAAACATATTCCCCTTGTTAATATTTTTTTGTTTAATCCTATCAATCATTATGTTGTATGCTTATTGTTAATATTTTAGTCCATACTCAAACGAATTCGTTCACCATCGATTGGTTTGAGACCGTTTCAACAGGTAACATTTCATTGTGTTGAATATTTCTCCGCCAGATATGAGGCCTTTTTAAAGGGGGATTTTCCCCAATATTTAAATCAAATAAATAACAATAACACAATAAACAACAATTGAAAATGTTTTTTTCTAGATTGCAATATAAAGACAATAATAGTGTATTGACTTGACAGAGCCTCGCATTTCCCCGTTTCTAAGCCTCATCCTTATATCGTTGATATGTCAAGTCAATAGACTATTATTGTCTATTTATTTTTCTAATTGATAAAAATGTGTTTGCATGTAAAAAATACTTTGTAAACTGTATTAAGACTATTAATCCCGATCTGATAAACCTTTTTTTTTATTTCAACATACAGCTTCAAGGGAGACTCTCGTTTAAAAGAGATTTTTCGCAGGATTCCCGACAACAGTTCAGAACAAGAAGAAAGAAGCGGTCTGGATCGTGTTCATTCATATCATTGTTTATCTCCTCGGCATAATTCAGTGTGACGCTGACACCATTAAAGAAAATCTGCCTATTCCATATGATGCATCATACTCAGGTTTCTAGTATGAAGTTACCACCACTCCGATTGGATGGAATTCCTCAAACTCAAAGCTCAATACAATGACAATAAGTCATTTACCATATATCATTCATTGATAAATCTTCATACTTTCCACGAGAATCGACTTCGAGGTTTGACGAAACACTAAAATATAATGAATATCCTTGTGATAATAAGTTTGAGATAGGTACATATTTATGAGAATTCGGTGGCATGATAGTTATCGAAAAGTGATTTACGTGCATTTGTCACTATTTGGTGGTAATAAGTTTCAACATAAACAAAATGTCTTGAAACTGAGCAATAGCTTTCCAAAAGTCACAGTATTAATAATCGAATAAAGTATTTATATGACTGTGCAAAAAATTTCTTTTGATTTTTGTTTTGTGCAAATACACATAAACAATAAACCAGTTTGGATCATACTAAAACCAGTTGAATATTTGAAATCATCGTTTACAGAATAAATGTAGAAATCTCTTCATTTTAAACTAGAAAATGTGTATAAATGTATACATCTCACAAACAAACATTGAATTTATGACTATAAAAATAATAATAAAAAAAAAAAAATATATATATATTGGCTTCCTGTTAAATTGCGTCTTTTTGTTCAGCCATTCATTTTAATATTTTTAGTTTTGTATCAAAGTAACACGCATAACGTCACAGTACCCAAATTGCACCTATTTAGTAAAAATAACAGCGAAAATCTTGCACGTTTTCTAAGGGAATAAACAATTTGTTTGTTTTATTATTTTACATTATGCACGTCTTTCAAATAGGTAAATGTATTTAAATATTCACAAAACGTTCACAGTGAAGTATTTATTCACTGGAAAAGGTAAAATCTAACAGTTACGGAAATCTCACCATGCGACGTCCACAAAAAGTCACCTTTTTAAAAATGAGCAAATAAAATATGTTACGAGCATTTATTTCTTAAAAAATGAATAGTAAGGATGGACTAATGTCAAATTGTTGAAAATATTCGAAGAAATAAAACAAAACATCTGTTATTTAATTTTTAAGGGTGTGAAATTAAGCATGGATGCAATGTGGGTACTCCTCATTACAGAATCATGGATCATTTGGAGGTCGGTTCAACCCATTTTTTATGATCAAATATGGATTCAAAATTAAATTGGTGGAACTATATAAATAGGGATACGTCTACAAAATAAACACAAAATAGAAACTTTTGTATGGATCATAAATAAACGTAGTTGAAAAAACCATCAAAATAGGTGCAATTTGGATTCCCTCACGTTATCATTAAAAAGAGGTTATCTAATTTATGCTTTTCCTTCCAATATTTTTTTGCATATCAAATTCTTAATCGGGCGGATAATATAAATTATTTCGTTTGCTACTGACCCAATCCCTTATGGATTTTACTAACCCTCTAAATGGATCCGTAGGGAGTCATTAGTGAAATGTATGACGAATTTATCGCATTCGGGGCTTTTCCTGTCAAGTTTTGAATAAAAATAAACTATAAAATACAAAACCATTAAACGATGACGTCACAATTTACAGACGGTAGACGTGACGTCATGAACAGGTTTGGTCATTGTTGAAGGTCGTACGGTTACCTAAAATTGCTAACATCTACATCATTTGGTCTTTGGTGGATAGTTGTCTCCTCATATCACATTTCTTTATTCTATAAAACATTGTTCTTAAGTTGTTTTCTGATTTTTTTAACAAGACATTAAAAGAGTACATACAATATAGCTCAACGAAAACCTTGAATTCTCAAGCGAACATAAATGATAAGCAATTATTTCCTTTGATAGTAAACAGAGGTAGCCATGTGTGATTTTAGTTGAGATCATACGCGACAAATTTAGAATTTCATGACCTTTCTTTCCGGGATGTACATTTTATCCAAGTTCGAAAACTATACGAACCGACAGAATGTTTTATTTGTAGTACCGAGGTGTCATTTTTCGAAAGGCTTAGTGCTGTATGTAGCTATTAACATGAGGCAGATGTTACCTGTGAAAGGGGACGAAGTCAGAAAACCTGTAGAATACTTTACGATATCCCGTTAACAGGAGATTTATATATAGAAACATTTTGCAATTCCCAGCATAATTTCTGGTGAGAAAGTAACTCAATTTAATAAGAAAACAACATGATTTATACATTAAAAACAGAAGCATATATTACATATTATTAGAAGTGTTATACGTCTCAGCAAGGATTAAGCACACGGGCATCACTGTAGGCAGACATGGGGTCAATTACTTTTGAAAGTAATTAATTACATTCAATTACAATTACAAAATCTTCAATTAAATTACACATTACATTTGACTTTTTTTGACAATATAATTAATTACTTTCCAATTACTTGGCAAATGTAATTAATTACTTCAATTACTTTTGAAAGGAAAATTTAGAACATAGATATAGGAAGATGTGGTATGAGTGCCAATGAGACAACTCTCCATCCAAGTCACAATTTATAAAAGTAAACCATGCATTTATTCATATGTATATAATTATCATACATTGCTTTATAGTAATAACAAATGAGATCTACAGTGACTATTTTCAAATTCAGCCAGTATCAAAGAAGAGTAAAAGTTAAATATCTGGTGTGTTACGGGAATAAAGAATAAAATGCTCCGCTGGGGCGCAGCTTGATACGACCGCAGAGGTCGAACCCAGAATAGTATGGACAAGTATGGACACAACATTCAAGCTTGATACAACACTGAATTTGGATTGTAATTAAATATTTGACACAGCATAGGTTTCTCACACAGAATGAAAGTGGTCTAAGAACTTAGAATTTTTTTAATGTACCTATTCAAACCATATTATTATTATTTGCTTTTATATATAAATCAGAAATAACCAATTTAAAATGGTAAATTTTAAAGAAAAAAAAGGAAAAAAAAATCCCCCCCCCCAAATTTTTTGAACCCCCTTATGATTCATCACCCCAAAACTCAATCCCAGCCTTCCCTTTGTGGTATGGTACCTTGCAGTACAATTTCAGAGAGATCCATACACTTCAACACAAGTTATTGTCTGGAAACTAGAAAAATGCTTGTTTTTTGCCCCTTTTTGGCCCCTAATTCCTAAAATTTGGAGGCAATTACCCCCAAAATCAATCCCAGCTTTCCCTTTGTGATATGAAACCTTGTGGTACAATGTCAGAGAGATCCGCACACTTACACACAAGTTATGTCTGGAAGTTACAAAAATGCTTATTTTTGGCCCCTTTTTGGTCCCTAATTCCTTAACTGTTGGTACCATAACCCCCAAAATCAATCCCCACCTTCCTTTTGTGGTATTGAACCTTATGGTAAAATGTCATTGAGATCCATTCACTTAAACTAAAGTTAGAAAACTAATGTGTCTTCGGACGACGACGACGACGACGCCAACGTCATACCAATATACGACCACAAAAATTTTTTTGCGGTCGTATAAAAAACAAACATAAATCTGAAGTGCACATAATACTTTGTCTATCAGAAATGGTTAGGACTAGATGTCTGGTTTAATTTAATGCGCAAAATGATAAAAAGCCTTATTCAATATTTGGAACATATCAAATTTTGTCTAATTACCTATTGAAATTTTATGTTTTAATGTATTTCATTGAAAATGATACAAGAAGAGAGCCCTATAGATAAAATTTTATTTTTTTAATTTGATCACAACTTATTAAAATTATTTTCCTAAAGAAATGATTTAAAAAATATAATGTAGTTTTAATCACAATTAATTAATTTAAAAAATCATGTACCTAGGGGTATATTTATCTCTCTCTAATTGGCTTAACACCTGTTTAACATGCAAACATAACTGTTGTAAAAGCAGTCATTATATAGTTTATGATAAAACAAATAGCCAGAGGTTATATTTATTGATTGACTTATGATCTTTCAAATTGATTACGTTAAATCAATGTCTAACAATATCATTCTGAATATACATGTAGGTGACAAGCTAATTAAGGTATAAGACCGTGACTTACTAATGGTTTCTTTTAAAAACAAATTATGGCATGTTTCTACAATATTTGTTTTTCTCTTTAATGTTTTGTTCATTCATTATAAAATAAAGAATCTTCCATGGTTGTGTAATTACAGAAGGCATACTGTGTAGGCTTTGATTTGTCAGCTAACTACATTTGCTAAGGTCATGGCTTCTTATAATTTTTTGAGAAAACACAAGATTCAATCTTTCTGATCCCAAATTTCAAATGAAATTGAGTTGTAATTGAAAAGTAATTGTCAATTACAGACAATTTTGGCTTTGTAATTCATTACTTTCAATTACTTGTAATTGAAAAAATGCTCAATTACACGTTACATTCAATTACTTGAGAAATTGTAATTAATTACAGCCAATTACAATTACATATTTCAATTACCCCATGTCTGACTGTAGGTGAGGCTTTTCATTACTAGATACGCTGATCAGTCTTTAACCGAGGTTAACTTATAATTATCGAATCTGGCAATACACATTGCATGGTGTAAAAAAAAGACATAAAAAATAATAATTATATAAAACGTCTATTAAATTATTTTCACTTTATTAATAATTTTTATAATGCATACGTAAATTCATATCAATCGATAATTTAGATAATCTGATGATTTTGATTGAATTGAAATTCTATTAAAATGTTAACATCAAAATATATGCCCTTTATTTATGCAGAAGTATATGTCATCATACATTTGTTAATACCTTTCAAATTCTATGGAAGTCTCGGTAAAAGCTAGCCATTTACAAAATTACACAGTATATGATGCATTTACAGTGAACCTATAAAAAGATATAATACATTTTCAATTATAGAGGTATTATATTTGGTCGATATATTGACTTTTAATACAGATATTGTAAACAAAAAACAAAAAAACAAAACTGAAAGGGTTACATGGATAGGTCTTGTTACGTCAGAATTACTGACTAAACCACGTACCTGCAAACTACTGGAAAAGAACTGCATGTAACACATGACAAAAGAATGATAACTGTTTTATGACATGTATCTAGCTCATCTGCAGATTACCGTGCACCAGTGAGTTCCCTTATGTGCAACAATTATGAGTTATGCTATGTGCACAAACACTTGCAAAAACAACCTGTAGGGTAAATTCTCAAACTGAATGGTTACATCTGAGATTCCTATAACCACTGATATAGTAATCTCAGGTTACATGGAACATGTGGAAGGTGATATGGGGTACATAGCCAGAAATTAGTAGTACTTTTACTAATTAATATTCATTATATGTAAATGAGAATTGTACCACGTGATAATAGTTTGAACTGGACTGGCTTGATATCATTAAAATCTTTAAAACACGGATATTATAAGTTGCCCGTCACAGAGTCCTTGTTTATAATCATTCTGATATTTCCGTAAAGTTGTCAGGCGGTCAAAATCAAAACAGTGAACTCGAATTTAGTGAATTTTTCGTGTTTTCGTGATTTTATTCTTCTTGAAATAGGGGCATTTTAACTTTACGTGGGAACCTAAAGTTCAACGACTACACATACAAGGTTTGGACTTGCTTATTCTTTGGACATTCAAGTTTCAAGT